CGATGACCTTTCATATGAGAATTCCTTATCTGCAAAGAGGGACATCACAGTTATGTTAACGACAAGAACAATTATCACCGAGCCAGTCTGCTTAATATAACTGCAAAACATAGTTAGAAGACATATGGATTGTTAACACAAACGGGATGAAATATTCCACTAAAATTTTATTTCACGGATCATTTATCTGTAATGGTAATAAATCCGCAAAATATTTGACGATTCTTGTTCACCCCAAAATAATATAAACAAAGCTCCTCCCTACTTAATCTTAAAAATTCCCAGGTTTGATTTGAAGTAGGGAAATTTTTTATTTCATGGTAGTCGCTCCCTCATTTTGGAATGCTTCACATTAGATGTGGTAATTAAATCATTCACCAAAAATAAATCTCCATTCACTCTTGAAACTCAATTTCCTTCGTAGATGTGGATGCAATAATTGATGTTTCATGGTACCATGGTGGGTTGTTGATGGGCAGGGAGGGTAGGCTTTTGAAGGCCAATCTAAAAAACCAAGTGTATATATTGTCAGTTTAACACGCAGGCATTCGCGACCAAGTTTAACCCAAAAAAAACCTATATTATGGATATCTATATCGTGAAAACTTTTGATTCTCAAGAATTGGCTTGAATTATGAACCTAAACAAAAGTAGAAAAGTTATAATAGCTTAGTATGACGCCAATTACAATCACTTTGACACGTGCAGCTAAAGTAAAAAAAAACAGATGCGAGTAGTAAATTCATCAACAGGCATACATGTATACCAGAAACAACATCCGATTCATTGGACTTAATAATCGTCAACATATTATCCAGCAGCGAGCAGGCCACATTTAAAGATGCAGTATTCTCTTCCCAGTTCCATCCCTGCGCCATCGCCACAGAAACACATCACAAGTATCACTGTTACCACCACTACCACCACGCACCATGGGTTTCACTGTCAGTACCACCACGCACCATGGGTTTCACTGTGTCAGTACCACCACAGGCATGGGTTTCACTGTGTCAGTACCACCACAGGCACGGGTTTCACTGTGTCAGTACCACCACAGGCACGGGTTTCACTGTGTCAGTACCACCACAGGCACGTGTTTTACCATCAGCACCACAGACGCAGCACGGGTTTCCGTATCACCACCACAAAGACGGCACCCATTGATAGCACGACTCACGCGTTATCACCGTGCGGGTAACCGCGGCTGTGAAGGTAATCTCTGGCTAAAGGGTAACCATATTATAGGATGAGAGAAACCCGGCAATGAGGTAACGCAAGGTAATGGCCCCTGGTGACAAGCGAGTTAACCCCGGCAACGTGGTAATCCCTAGTGGTAACGAGGTGAAACCCAGTGGTAACGTGGTAATCCCCAGTGGTAACGAGGTGAAACCCAGTGGTAACGAGGTGAAACCCAGTGGTAACGAGGTGGTAACGAGGTGGTAACCAGTGGTAACGAGGTGGTAACGAGGTGAAACCCAGTGGTAACGAGGTGGTAACGAGGTGAAACCCAGTGGTAACGAGGTGAAACCCAGTGGTAACGAGGTGGTAACGAGACGACCCCGGTTCCTTCATTACCCGCGCGAGGATCCATGCCCTGGCCCAGGCAGAAAGGTTTGCGATGACGTCATTTAATACATTGCGCCTCGAACAACGTCATGTCCGTCGGGATGACGTCATTAGTGTCATGTCTGTCGGGATGACGTCATTAGTGCTGAGCCGGTGGCCATTCTAAGCTCAATGTGCAAGAGGCCCTCATCCAGCAGTGGATTGACAAAGGAGCTGCGCACGTGTCCATGATCTAGTTGAGGTTGCTTTGTACCGTCTCTGCAGGTCATTGTAGCTCAATAGGTTAAGACAATAATGTTTTTTTTTATTTGCAGATATCTTGATATCAATAAAAATACATTTAAAACTGAACACATTTTTTTTATTTTACCAGGTAAAGCCCCTTGAAGCTTTCAAGCCATTTTAAAAGAAGCGACCTGGCCACAATTGATAGCTCAACAAAAGTAGTTTATAATGTGGGAATGTATAGCAGCCAAACAAGGTTTCTAAATCTGGAGGGGAAAACCGGAGGACCCGGAGAAAAATCCAAGTGACCATGGGCAGAACATGGAAACTCCAAATATATCGAACTCACGACCTCCTGATGCCCCAAATTTTAATATTTGTATCAGTCACTGCCGGATGAGGGCCTTGATTCCACGCCTCACAGGCCATAGGGGACATTTGACCAAAGGCATTGAGCCCAAATTCGGGAGCATAAAAGGGCAGTACAACAATAGATTTTGCTGCACTATGCCTCTGGAGAGGAGAGTGTGGCTTTAACAAACGAGTCAGTGCTTTCCTTACATTCTCTACGTTGAAACGTGCGCTAAGAATCACGAATAAATGCATGCTTGGAATTGTATTGAGACAGAATAAGAAACACGTGGACTACAGAATATATGCAGGTTAGAGACCTAATTCTGACTCGTGAAAAGTAAGTGGGATTGGGCATGACACTTCTCTTGAGAAGATGATGATGTCCAGAATAAACACCTCAATTGAAATCCAAACATCTCACCTCCTGGCTCTGACATTCCTTGAAGACACTGCTGAAACCAGCAACACTGCTGGAACCATCAACCACAACGGAACACCAACAAGCCTATACACAATCTTAGGTGTGTATATTAGGTGACTTTTCCGAAAAGACGGAAGCTTGTGTTGCCTCCGAAACGTCGTGATTTTTTTTTTACCTACGTGACTTCACCGAAAAAACCTGAGAGTATGAATCCTTGCAGTCACGAAAGCTTAAAATCTAGAAGCCTATACACACATCTCCTTCATAAATGTAACATTAAAGACAAGCAACGGTGTGATTGTGGCCATGCAGTCCATACTATGGATCATATCGTAAACCAGTACAGTAGTCAGTAGACAAAATCCGTGATCTGATCCGATCCGTAAAGAATGTCATTCCTGACTTGCAGTACCCTGGTGTCTACAAATTGAGTTGCATTTGTGGTGATTGTTATATTGGGGAAACGAAACGACATGTATCTGACCGCATTCGCGAGCACAAGTCAGATTTGAAACACGGTAGGACGAATTCTTCTGCCATGGCTGACCATTGCTACATCGCGGTGGGCTCTCATGATATTGTTTTCTCCGATACCAAGGTGCTCTGCAAGCCGTCTGGATACCACCAAAGATTTGTCCATGAAGCCATCCATATATACAAACATAGACATAACTTCAACCGAGAGGATGGATTCAATTTGAGCAATCATTGGAAGGATGTTATAAACCAAGTTAAACTTTAGCTGCCTTATAGTTTATATTCATATCCACATCTCCAGTCTTTTACTCCCAGCCTTGCACACGACCATCACTAGGAAATTTGACGTGCAGTGTTTCAATCGTGCAAATTCGCCCCCCCCCCCATCCCCCTCTCCCCTGCCCCCCCCCCCCCATCCGAGGTACATGAGCAGTATGCCCATGAGCTTTTCTCACACCCTTAGGATTAGCCTCTCCAGTCCCCGCCCCCACACTTACCTCGACCCCCCCCCTCAAACTCAGCTATATAAACCCTTGTCAAAACCATCTCTTTGACATAATTCAGCAACTGTTTTTTGCTGTGGTTGTCCCCACCTGATGAGGGATGCTTGTGTTGCACCCGAAACGTAGTGATTTAATTTAGATGTTTTCACTTTTTTATTTCATTATTATTATTTTCACCTACGTGACTTTACCGAAAGAACCAAAGAGTATATAGTAAACCAATCTGTATCTGTGCTCCAGCAGCATAGGAATATCTACACGAAATCTCCTGAAGCCGTCATGGCGTGCAGACCTCGACAATGGCATTTAGCTCCTGAACATATTGCCATACGCAAGAACAGGATAACTGATGGATGGGTCATTTATCCCCCCCCCCAGCCAAATCCCCCCCCCAGCCAAGTCCCCCCCCCCCCCCCCGCCAAATCCCCCCCCCAGCCAAATCCCCCCCCCCCCGCCAAGTCCCCCCCCCCCCAGCCAAATCCACCCCCCCAGCCAAATCCCCCCCCCCCAGCCAAGTCACCCCCCCCCCGCCAAATCCCCCCCCCGCCAAATCCCCCCCCCCGCCAAGTCCCCCCCCCCCAGCCAAATCCCCCCCCCCGCCAAATCCCCCCCCCCAGCCAAGTCACCCCTCCCCCGCCAAATCCCCCCCCCCCGCCAAGTCCCCCCCCCCCAGCCAAATCCCCCCCCCAGCCAAATCCCCCCCGCCAGCCAAGTCCCCCCCCCCCGCCAAATCCCCCCCCCCAGCCAAGTCACCCCTCCCCCGCCAAATCCCCCCCCCCCCCGCCAAGTCCCCCCCCCAGCCAAATCCCCCCCCCAGCCAAATCCCCCCCCCAGCCAAGTCACCCCCCCCCGCCAAATCCCCCCCCCCCCGCCAAGTCCCCCCCCCCCCCCAGCCAAATCCCCCCCCCAGCCAAATCCCCCCCCAGCCAAGTCACCCCCCCCCCGCCAAATCCCCCCCCCCCAGCCAAATCCCCCCCCAGCCAAATCCCCCCCCCCCAGCCAAATCCCCCCCCCCCAGCCAAATCCCCCCTCCCCCGCCAAGTCCCCCCCCCCAGCCAAATCCCCCCTCCCCCCCCCCGCCAAATCCCCCCCCCCCGCCAAGTCCCCCCCGCCGCCAAATCCCCCCTCCCCCGCCAAGTCCCCCCCCCCCCCCGCCAAGTCCCCCCCCCCGCCAAGTCCCCCCCCCCCGCCAAGTCCCCCCCCCCCCGCCAAGTCCCCCCCCCCCCCCGCCAAGTCCCCCCCCCCGCCAAGTCCCCCCCCCCCCGCCAAGTCCCCCCCCCCCCCGCCAAGTCCCCCCCCCCCGCCAAGTCCCCCCCCCCCCGCCAAGTCCCCCCCCCCCCCCGCCAAGTCCCCCCCCCCCCCGCCAAGTCCCCCCCCCCCCCGCCAAGTCCCCCCCCCCCCCGCCAAGTCCCCCCCCCCCCAGCCAAATCACCCGCAGCAATCGGGGTCGCCACTCCCCCCCTGCCGATGGCGTCCGTGCCCTCGCCCGCCGCCGCTTCGGCGCTGCTCCGCTGCCGCCTGCTCCGTCCTCCTCGTCCACCCCGCAAGCGAAGTGGCGACTCGACCCCCTCGGCATCCACCTCCTCGTCCGCCTCGGCGTCCACCACCTCGTCCCTCTGCTCGTACCTCTCCTCCTTCTCGATGTCGCTCTCGCTGCGGCCTCACGGCGACCGCGCTCGGGCCCCCCGCCTCGCCTTGTCGCTTCGCCTGCCTCGGGCCTCCTGGGCAGGCGCGGCCCGAGAGGATGGAGGGGTCGGGGTCGGCGCGGGCACGCGGCTGCTGCTCCTGCCGGGCCTCGCGCTGAGAATCTCCGGCGGTGGTGACGGTGGTGGAGGTGGTGGAGGCTGCCGTGGACGCTGTGGAGGAGATGTCGACTCGTTGCTGGACGAGATAGCCGAGGTGAAGAGGCATGTGGAGGAGGCGGTGAGTTGGTTGGGCGCCGAGATGATCGCTAACCTCGTCTTGGTCTTCATTTGAAGCTTTCGTGACTACAGGAATCCATACTCTTCGGTTCTTTCGGTAAAGTCACGTAGGTCGAAAATAAAGCATGATGCTTTCTCACCTGATAACGGACGCTTGTGTTGCGCCCGAAACGTCGTGATTTATTTTATTCTATTCTATACCTACGTGACTTTACCGAAAGGACGTCTTGGGTTTATGCAGATCCTTGGCGTCTGCTGTGTTCATAGTTTGCGTGTTCTTTTCTCTCCCCCACATTCAGAAACGTGCGTTTATTTAAGAGTGTTTGGCTGATATAAATGTCCACATGATGATACAAAGCTATAATTTGCGGTCAGGTCGCTTCTGAAAGAGAGCTACATAGTTCAGTGGTACTTACCTGATCAAAAAAAATAGTCACGAATAGTAGTAGATCGTAATGCTTTATCGTCAAGGTCAATCCACTGCTGGATGAAGGCCTTCCTTCTTGCGATGGTTATCAACCCACCCGGCTCCTTGGACGCGAGCTGAACTCACCGTCTCACCCACCGCTCCCCATCTCCTCGATGTACGTCCACTCCCGGCACGCTTGACCCTTGCAAGCGGATCGTGATTAGCGAGTCACAGCCGTTTATAGTTACACATATTTAGGTTCATTTCATTTATTAGGTGTAGCTGTGTGAGCCATTCGGCTCTTGAATCGGGTGCAACCGCAAAAAAAAATATGAACAAGAAAACATCTTAAAGTGACTACGCGCAAACAGAAAAATCCAGGAAAAAACTGCAAAGTCTTCCAGAAATAGCACCGTATATCAACGCTGTGTGCAAAAATCCCAGTGGGATGCAAGTCAAACAATAACAACCAGAAGACAATTTAGATTAAAGTTATCGGTCTAACTCTGTACTACAACAAATAATATGGATAATAGATTTGAACTTCTTGGTTCTTTCGGTAAAGTCACGTAGAAGGGAAGTAATAAAATAATAAAAATACAACATAATAAAATAAAATAATATTATATTAAAATAAAATAATATATTATTTTATTTTATTATGTTTTATTTTTATTATTTTATCACTTCCCTTCTACGTGACTTTACCGAAAGAACCAAGAAGATGAATCCCTGCAGTCACGAAAGCTTTAAATCGAAATAGATTTGAAGTTTTCGTGACTGCAATGATTCATACTCTTTGGTTTTTTCGGTAAAGTCACAGTTTTTAATAAAACCGTTGTTAAAAAAAAATTAAGGAATTTATTTTACATCATGGGACCTCCTTTGCCAGTACCAAAATATACTAATAGGGTTTTTCCTCTTTTTTCTGGCAACAAAACTGACACCTTTTGCAAAGAATCATGTTTACATTAACCACAATACTTGCAGTCAAATGCAAACAAAAAACAATACTCTGATAATTTATGCATTGTCCTTGAAACTGATTGGTCCACACCAGAGACAGCTTTCTTTGGTCTCGTCTCATATGGTGTTCGACCAGATGACGCCAAAAGGCGCCTTTCAAGGACAATGCATAAATTATCAGAGTATTGTTTTTTGTTTGCATTAGACTGCAAGTATTGTGGTTAATGTAAACATGATTCCTTGCAAAAGGTGTTAGTTTTGTTTCCATAAAAAAGGGGAAAAACCCTATTAGAGTTTATTTTACTTAGTTTAACACGAAGTAACGCTTTCGCGACCAATATTCATAATAGAGGTGTTTTGGGGTTAGATTGCGTAAATATGAATGTCGTTAAACCCGACACAGCCATTTAGTAAGGTTTGTCACGCAAACAAAAAGTGGCAATTCGTTACTAGTTCAGCACACCGGTTGTGCGTGGGAGAGTAAACCCACAAAAAACACACGTACAATTAAGATCATCGGGCGACAAATCGAACCGTCAGATTTCGGAAGCTAAGCAGCAGTTGAGCCTGGATAAGTGCTTGAATGTGCGACCCCACCATGTACTACTCAACGTGTTGTTATAGGGTGCGGTGCTCATTGGTTGGGCAGCACAGCAACAACCATTGTTGTACTGTACTTCCTTGCTCCCCACCTTCAAGTAACCCTCATTACCTCCACAGACGTGACTTAGGGAGGCCCTCATTTAGCAGTGTATTGACGAAAGGGCTATACTATAAGCTATTTTAAAACTTTTATTTTACCAGGTAATGCCCACTGAGCTATGTAGCTCATTTATTCAGAAGCGACCTGGCCACAAATGATAGCGCAACGAAGTGGCTAATCAAGTGGAAATGTTTTAGCAGCTAAATGTGGAGGGAATAAAGCGGAGGACCCGGAGAAAAAAAATCCACGCGACCACATCGAGAAAGAAAACACGCAAACTCCACATATACAGGAGTTGGGATCGGAATCGAATCCACGATGTGCTGTATACCGGACGCTCCCATACGTGTACACAAGCAGTTGGTCAGTCAGTTTTTTTTGGCAGGATGCACATGCTGCTTTCATGGCGCTGATGGTGTCACAGCTGCATTTCCAGTTCTTGCATCAGGCGTAAGTTTAGGGGGGAGTGAAACTGGACACACACGTGTTTGGCAAAACGTACCCCGGCTTGCTGCTTATATATATCTCCATAGCTGTCATTTACTGCCAAAATATCCATTGTCACAAAATCTCAAACCCTCCACCCTTCCCCGTACGCACCTGCTTTTAAAGCTGCTTATTCCAGACGTTAAGGTTAACGAAGTGTGAAAATACTATGTTATCTCAAGGTGTGTAGTGTATTTTCAGAGTTTAAAAAAAATGGGAGTTTGATCACAAACAGGATGTCGCTAAACAATGAGGGTCGGCGGTCAAGATTAAGTTTTAATTCTATATTTGAAGCTTTAGTAACTGCAGGAATCCATACTCTTTGGTTCTTTCGGTAAAGTCACGTAGGTAGAAAAATTAAACAAAAAATTAAGTACAAAATTCTAAACAAATTGTTCTAAACTGTTCTAATTGGTGGTCACTGATCCAACATAGCTGGCATGTGCAATGCTTCACGAGAATACGATCATGCGCTTCTCTTTTGGGCCTTTCACATATTTTACCGAGAGGCAGCCAACTCGGGTAAATGTTTAGATAGTCAATCTAAATCCAAACCGCCATAGTGGATGTTTGAAACAATTTGTTTAGCCAGCAAAACTGCGGACCGGTTTGCACTCATTCCCATCACTCGTCAGGTTGAATGCGCTAACGTTCCTTTGTTTCCAGATATAGTCGTGGTAGTAACTGCATCCAAGGTGGAAGCTTTTAACATGAGTGACCAGACACTACCGCAACTGGATAATTACCACTTTGACAGTGCTGTTTGTTGCTCGCCGGTTGTCATTTTGGGCCTTTGCAATTGTGATACAAAAAGAAACTCACTTCACGTTACCCAAATTGGGATTACGCACAGCAGCAATCATTGCCCCTGAGCGGGCAGTAGCGCTTGCAGACCAGGTGCCGAGTCACCTTGTGCCACAAAGGGACAGCGGCCACTGGGGAAAAGGGAGGGGGATGCCCTTTCAAACTTGTTGAGATAGACATGCAAGTCACTTAGCGTATGTAAAGCGCTCCATGTCGAACTTCTTTCGCACCGTACGTGGCCAACCACGCGAATCGGAGATGCGGCGGAAGGACAACAAACTAAAGACAAAAAGCAGTTCTAAAGAAATGAGATGTTCCCAGCACAAAGCAGGACGGGTCTATCAAATAAATCATAACTATTATAATTACATGACACGTGCCTGGTATTGAGTAGTGGTGCGCTGACTAACAAAGGTGGCGCGCTCGCGTCTCTCCGGCGGCGCCAGGAGCTGTGCGGGAGCGCGGCGGCAGCGCGCGCCGCCTGGGCCCGCGCCGACGACGTGAGCGGGAGGTTCCACGCCGCGCTGCGCCGCGCAGGCCCCAGCGAGCGCCACCGCATGGAGCTGCGCGTGGGGCCCCACATTCAGCAGCTGCGGCGGAGGAGCGCGCCCGGCACCGCCGCCGCGCAACCCCCACGCCACGACGGCAGTTAGTCCACGTGTCCGACCGCGCGGACGTCGGAGACTGCGGCGGCGGCGACTGCGGCAGTGGGAGCGGGGCTGCTGCTGCTCTGCTAGATATACAGTCGCTGCCATTCAACGATATTGGCTTTAGGGTTGACGGGACTTGGTCGGGGTGCAGCACTGCAAATGTTTGCTCGTGTCACTGCTGCCCAAAAGGCCTGCCACTAGAGGAAGCTCCAGAGAGTTTTGAGAGAGTATTTTTTCGCTTCCTCTATCACGCCATCCGGACGTCTTGGAGGAGAGGTGGGAGTACGCACACTTTAACCCACCACATGTGACCTGCCGATCGATTAACTGGTGTACCCATATTATACTCCTGGCTTGATAGGAGGCGGAGGGGATTTAAGAAATGTGGCGATTCCTTCAGCTGCCACGCCGGGAGATCTAACCCGTCACCTGTGGATTCAGTATTGCAGCAGAAGGATGACCGTGGGTGACAGGGTCGGGGATGGAATTATTAGAGCTATTGATTGGTTGCTGCATCCTTTTTCAGTGTCTACATGATGCACTGTGGTGCTCACACATCCTTCATTTCCAGGGAATGCAGTATTCTCTGCACACCGTTCACACGGATAAAGTTGACGGGGCGGGCGAAATGTTTGTATGCGAGTTCGCCTTGATCAGCTTCGCACTACAGCCACGAAACCTCGTAGATGTTATGGTGCCATTGCAGAGGGCACTTGCTAACTCTTAAACTTTGCGACAACAATCTCCGTTCACCACTAAGTGGCGGTGACGTCACCACGGCGCTTGTGCTATGCTAGGTGCACTTTGAGGCCACGTGAAGTATCTAAAGCCGGCAGGCAGGTCACGGAACAGACCCAGGTACCGTGGGTTGACTAAAATGGCTGGCAGATGCACCAACTGTGCTCCCCGCTGTGCCAACTCTGCATTTTAGACGCCCTGAGCTCCGCTTATTGTTGCGAGTGTCGTTTCTCTAGCCTCCTTTGTTGCTGGAGGGTGACTGCTTCCAACTCCCAAGCAGCGGAATTTACGAACCTCCACACATCATTACACACATAATTACACGGTGCTCTGCAAAGTCGACTGGCAACAGTCATTTAAATTTGAGTTGGAGAGCGACACTTGTAAGACTGCCTGCCCGTTGATGACGTTTGTTCCAGATGGAAGGTGTGCAGAGAAAAATGTAACATCTTTGAAGAGGAGACTGCTGGCTTAAGGCTCGGGTTTGTGCCATGGCCTTTTCTTGTGTGGACTTGCGAGGCAATCTACACTCTTAGTTGGCACAACAGCATTAACACGTAAATGAGTGCATCCGTTTCCCTAAGATCCCAGAAGCTAAAGCAGGATTTGAGCCTGGATAGCGCTCGGATGGGCGACCCGCCATGTGCAAAAGACTTCAGGGAGGAGGCATTGTGGGTAGTGGAGGGCAGTGCAGAAAAATCCATTGTTCTGCACCAACTCCAACGTTTGCCAACCCGCACTGACAAGTGTGGTGAAGTACGGTCAAACATCCTTCACAATCGACGAGTTGTGGGGGAGGCAATCATAGAGCAGGTAGATTGACAAAACGGGGCGGTACATTAACTCGAGTGATCGGTTACCTCGTTGACCTGTAAATCGTTGATAATACTACTAAAAGAAAACTCACGCCACGTTACCAAAATTGGGGTTATGCACAGCAGCAATCGTTGCCCCTGACCGGTAGACTACTGCCCGCTTGCAGACCAGGTGCCCAGTCACCTTGTGCTACAAAGGGACAGTGGCCACTGGGGCGGAGGGGGGGGTGCCCTTTTAAACGTGTTGAGATCGAGATGCAAGTCCACTTGGCGTATGTAAAACGCTCTGTATATATGTTGAACTGCGTTCACACCGTACGTGGCCAATTGCGCTGATCGGAGGTGCGGGGGGAGGACAAACTAAAGACAGCAGTTCGAAGATTGCTGGATCTGTCGTTGAGCACTTGAGCAGTAGTGTCGCTCTGTTAACGTGCCGATTGCGCACTGAATTGTAAGTGTCGTGTCACTGGCGACTCCACGATGCAGGCGAAGATTACCACGTTTAGTTCCGTAGCAAGTAAATGTCACTCAGATGTGTAATGACCTTGACCGGCATCCCGAAGGAATATAAAAATGTTTCTTTAAAGATCCAGTTCATCAAATGAGCGGCTCTCATAGCTATGCACCTTGACTGCCTTCCTCGGCTGGCCAACATGAGATTGAGGCTTCATTGCTTAAAGGATTTAAAACCACAGTGCGCTCCCCTTATCAAAGTGCCCCAGAGACTGCACTGGCACCAAAACAATACAGCGGTGACAGCAAGGCGGTGCGGTAATTGTGCAATGTAACTACATTAATAGGATATCCCGATTATGCTTGAAACCCGAATTGGACAGCCTGAGCCTACACAATGTTTGCACTTTTCTGCAAACTCATTACACGTTGTGGAGAATTATTGGTATAAAGCATATATAAGCAGAACTGCATTTGTTGCCTCTTTATTTAAATAAAATAGTTTGTCGAAACTGGTCCAGTTGGTTTGCTTGAACAAATACCGCTGGATATTTGTTGAGAAAGCCAATAGGCTGCTGGACTAAAACCAATTGTCATTTTTTATGGTTTTACATTTCTATAAAAGTACTTTCTCCTGTTGCGTTTGTACTCGGCAGCATTTAATGACGCATTGTCCGATGCAATTTTCTTTTCACAACAGGTGTTCTCGATAGTTGTAATGGATTAAGTGCATTTTCATTGCTCCTGCTGTGTTGTGCATTGTAGAACACTTAATCTCATTTACTTTGACTATGGTGTTTCGTCCATACTAATCGATTAAAATTACCTTTCGTATGGACGCACTGAACCGATTATTAAGATTTACGTAAGTTATAAATACATTTCAGGATGTTAAATTACATCTGAAGGATGGTGATATGGCGGTGGGGTCAGGCCTTCATCCAGCAGTGGATTGAGCATTGTTATTCCAAGCGTACACGTTCCCATACCCTTCTGCAGCGAGCTGAAATTATGCTGTTCAAGAACATGGCTCGCATGTAGAAACGAGGTAAATCATGACTTGAAGCTTTCGTGACTGCAGGATTCATATTCTTTGGGCCTTTCGGTAAAGTCATGTCAATAGGTAGTTTTTTTGTTATACTGGTAGGAACCATCTGGTTCCACCAGCCCACAGGGGATTATTGTGTCCGTCCGTCGTGCATCAATAAATGGGAGGGGCTGGGTAGGGTGGGGAGGGGCTGGGTGGGGAGGGGCTGGTCACCCCGTGGTGCCCTTATAAAACTCAACGTTTAACCTACTCACGCCGGCTTGTGCCCGCCCTCAGTCGGCCATATTTGCGGAATATACCACACCCTGGCCATTTACCGAGCAACCCAACGTTCCTACCAGCTCCCTCCGCAGGAATGTGTTTTTCTTTGAACCTATCTACGTGACTTTACCGAAAGACCCAAAGAATAGGTAAAATCACTGCAAATGTCCTCGTGTGCAGGTTGTATGGTGCCAATATTTGAATGATTGTAACAAGATGTTTTAAGTAGTGTAATATATCACCTGAATGCTGCACACAAGAGGAAATTTAATAAATTGCAGCATATTGCCAATCATACAGCTGATCCATTATTACAACCAGGCACTTGTGAGATTATAATTTGTATTACATTTTTGTAAATGCACTAAGCTTAAGTAACTTATGTTTGATGTGTTTTGATGGAGTGAAGAGAGGTTTTATGAGCCTTATGTTAATGTGTGGAATTTGTGCAGAATGAGCCAGAACACGACTATAATTCACTCACAAAACTTGCAGAAATCGGGTGACTCGAGACACGAATACCACTTCAGAGCATTGAGCTGGCTCTGCTGTGACCCAGGATCCCAATCTGGGGTTTCGCTGTTCATTTTTAAATTTGATTCACAAGTATAGTGCGTTGGATGTTTTCAGCCTCGTCGCACAAAAGCTGGGCCTAAAAAAACACGATTTGACTTTGTAGCGACGCATATTCCAGCTCTGAGAAACAAAATCGGTTTTGTTTTACTGCCATACGATGAAAACTCTTTGCAGGGAATATTAAAGGTGGACCCTTGTCAGTTTGAAAACAAGTGTTCAATGGCCTTCCAAAGCAGATCTATCTTCCGTGGCCACTCGTCCACAAGGTGGTGCACTGCATTCTGCGAATGGAAATTCGCTCATCTCGTGGAGTGATGCGGATGAAATTATTGGATTTGATATGAACAATAAGAGAACTTGCTCCATTTCACTTTTATAATTGAGTGTAGTTTTTTTTTTATCAAACCCCTGCTCTTAAGCATTTTTAAACTGTTCTTTGCCGTAACGTACGTGTGGTGTGTTCAATTGGTAAGACAGTGATAATAGGTGCTAATTCTCCGATTCAAAGCACTGGCGGAGCCAGTGGGGGGGGGCACGTTTTAGTAATACATCGGCATTTTGCGACCCCCACTGCCAGTGTAGCATATGTGCCAGGGACTCTGATATGATAGGACAATAGTCTGAGTCCATAATTGGCAATAAGTAACGGAAAAACAGTTAAGTGAGTCGCATAATTGTGTGCAGTTGCGTACACAGTACTTCCCCGAAGGCATTCACCTTCAGCAAGCGCGATGCCGATCACAACGCGGTTCGAATTCGACCCTCGATCGATGGCTGCGCCATCGCCGCACAGGCGTTGAATAAAAAGGGACAAGTCCTTACAACTATCATTTTTAATTGCTGGAGGGGTTGCCCCCTCTACCTGAAAATCCTGGCTCTGCCATTGATTCTAAGTGTTTGAATCCCTCGGTATTCGCGGCAGCAGTCGTCGTGCTGCCCTTGCAGTGTTGTGGCTGATGTGGCCGGTGCGTGGCGAAACTCGGCGCGCGATGAGTTTTTGTCCACACGTGTTTTTAAGGTGATCATTCCACAACGGTCATGGTACGAAATTGTATTTTTAAAGTTGTTAAATAAACTACGAATATTCAAAATGCTGTTTTCATCTCTTTTTAACATTCCATGTGCAACACACAGTTAGTTTGTCACTGCATTGTTTGGTAATTGAGGGTTAAATGTGTTTTAAGTAATTACTGGAACGTGGCACAGGTCTGCGGATAACTGTCCGGAGTTGATGGCAGGAGCTTTTGCCGAATATAACTCCTCTCAAACGTTGAAGTGGAGCAGTCATGCAGTGGCTCAGTGCATTGTACCGTGAAATTGGCAATCCAAGTTCGATTAATGGCCATCGCCAACGTCGGTGATTTTTTGCTTAAATGGGGCAGAGGCAGTGCTCATCCTGTGAACAGCTCTTTAGTCCGTGATGGAAATTCCCAATTCCTCTGGGTGGGGGCGAATCGATCCATTGGACAACCAAATTGTCCACTTCCCCACAGTGGTACTCATTTTATTGACCCGGTGTCATAGTCCACAAACTTGGCAAATGTGAAAAATTTCACGTAAATAATTCTATTGGAATCTCCAAAGCAACCATTACTCCCCGACTGCACAAACTTCGCACGACCCTCCTGAAAAAGTGAACTCAGTGGGGCTTTCTTGGTTAAACGCGTGCAGTAGTAATACAAAACATCAACAACATTTTGAGGACAAGCATACTTTGAGAAGCGTGGTCCACTGGTTGAACAGTGCCCAGGAGAGTTTGCACTTCTGGCAATTGAGTGTTTTGTGGAAGGATTGTGACACTTTGTGCATTACCAACATGCTTTGGGAGCGTTACAAAAGCTTTTGCATGACAGCGTTTCACCAAAATTCGCACGGCACTTTTTTATTAAAATTCATAAAGCGCCCCTTAACCGTTCTCAGGGGGCTATGCACGGAAAAGTGGAAGTAGTGTAGCACCGTAGATGGGCCGCACTTACCTGCAATGGTGGACAGGGCCCAAGGGTGGTACCTCATACCGCCAGGGGAGGGGCTGCATTGCCCAGCCCAAGAGCGGGAGGGGCTGTGGGGGTTCCAGGATCCCACGCAGCCCCGCCCCTCGATGGCAAGGTGCATAAAGGAGGACCTCCCCAGTAGCTCGGGACCAGTCGCATACCGAAGCAAGAAGACCAGCCAGCTTAGGACCCTGGATCCCATCGCCCCACTGTCCTTGTAAGGGCCGGAACGCTGTGCGGGCCAGTGGTGAGACTGGGACTCCCGGCCCGACGTCCTTGTCAGGGCGAGGTCCGAGGAAGCCAGTGGTCTAGACCCGCACCTTGGCTGGATCGGGTTAGGTAGCCTCCCCTCGGGCAATCATAGCCGGAGGACCTGGGAATGTAGACGAGGCTAGGCACACTACGTAGATCGTCTGTGTAGAAGACCTATGTGAATAGGCTGGGAATAAAGTGTATAAGTACGTGGTGTGGAAATAAATACGTGCCCTCTACAAGTGTCTCTGGAACCCATTACAGTACTTTAACAACAAAGGAAAGTGAGAAACGTTTGAAACGGATGTATTTTAAGTCGAGATTTGAACATTTGCGGTGTCTTGGAAGTCCTGACCTCAAAGGGCAACGAGTTAGAGTTGAGGTGCCGCAATTGCAAAGGCGCCTTCACCCCAATGTGCGAAGCCGAGACCGTGGGACAGTGAGCAATGCACAATCTGAGGACCGGAATTATCTTTATAGAATATTCGTGGCTGTAAGTCATGAATAGGGAGGAGCAATTCCATTCAAGGCCTTGAATACCAGCGAGAGAATCTCAATACGGGGACAGACAAGGGGGCCAGTGAAGGGACAGGAGCACAGGTGTGATGTGATAAAGGGTGTTGTACCAGTTCTCAACTTGGCAGCCACATTTTTTATATACTGCAGCCTGTTTAGGAACTTGCTCGGGGTTCCAAAAAGCAGGGCATTTCAATAGTCAAGCCAGGAAAAACAAATTCGTGGATTAGACTTTCAGTGTCTGCAATGTTCAGGATGTGATGGAGTCGGGATATATTTATTCTGTGAAAAAAAGAGGTTCTCACGGTTGTTGACATGGGACTGAAAGGATAAAGTTTGGTCGGACACCAAGATTGTTGACCTCATGTGTTTGATAGACATTCCAACCATCAATAACCAAGAGGATTGATTTGGATATCTGATGGGAGTGTACCGATTAAAATAAGCTGTTTTATAATTTTATACCTAAATGGTTGTATTCACTTGGCAATAATTGAAACGGGGATGATGGCATGGCACAATGGTCAATACTCTTGACTTGTAACCTAGGTGTTAACGGTTTGATCTTCCAGTGCACCCGTTGAAACGAAGGTGCGAGTTTCTGAAATCCCCTCCACCACCTCTTTCAAGCCAGCAGTAAACATGGGTACAGCAGTCGATCGGCAGCTTGCGTGTGGCAGAGAAAAGTGTTAGTACTTGCACCTCTTCAAATTCGTCTGGCCAGAGGATGAAATGGCCAAATAACTTCTAAGAGGCCCTCCAGAATTCACTCAAGTGAAGGTCCCTCTGCCAGCAGTGGAATGAGGTACCTTGTAAGTGTAGTGTCATAGCGCCGGCTGGTGGACAGCAGCGGCAACTGGTGGACGGAGAGTACACACGTCGGTGAGGGCGTGCACGGTGTGTGTGCAGAGGAGAGGAACTGGGGTAAGGGTCACGGAGGACTCCATCTGGAGGCTCCTGGAACCTGCTAGCGGGTTCGAGAAGGAAGGCATGGTCAGGGCGGAGCCAGGCCGTGCTGGTAGTATAAAAGGAGCTGAGAACGGGAGCTCAGGGCTGCCGGTTCTGGGAGTGGACTCGTCTCATCCTAGCAGTCGTCTCGCTGCCTTTATCACTGCCGTCTTCACTAGATATTGGGTGGCTGGAAGTTGTTTGCCATCTCAGTCAGCGCCATCAGTGTTTGACGGTTAGGGTTGTGTACAGGCTCGGCGAAGTAACTGTGGAGAGTGTGTGGACGAGACCTGTTAATAAAGGTGCCTCCGAGAAACTGTCTCTGAATCGTTGACACTACATAAGTACAATGGAAAATGTATCATCTGTGGTTCAATTGCTAAAGAACATAACTTTAATTCTATGCAATTTTCAATACCGTACTTGCATGTGATCCTGGCTTGCCCTGGTCAAGCCAGGATCACGTGCACAGATTTTTGCATTTTGTAAAGAAGAGCTGCTTTTTCCAATTATTCTGTTACTCAACCAGTTATCAGTTCGTTTGACTAATCAGACAACAGTGTAAATAGTTGGAGGGGAAATCTCACTTCTGTTCCCACCCATGTTGTTGGATGGGACGTTATGGGTGTGGCTAGATTATTTCTACATTATCAGCTACATCACGATGGGCGTGGCTTGCAGGGGGTTTCCTACCTTCAGAAGACAGGATATGAGGGTAACTTTTCAAATGACCAAAAAAAAGTAGGCAATTAAACATTTTAATCGATTAATCAATTGCCTGTGAATTACAATGTACTGCAAATATAAACTGACAGCAATTCTTGAGGTTTATCCCCACCAAATATATACATAAATATAGAAGTCTCAAAGTAATGAAAGTTATTTTAAACCATAAACAACTAAAATCAGGAGAGGCAATTGAACACATAAGAAACGTGAATGCAGTTTCGGCACCCACTAACTACTGTTTGGCAAGTTAACTTGCTTTATATCCCACAAATAAGTATTAAATGCAACACTACAAATAATGCATCCAAGATTTTATTAAGTGGTGGGGCTTATCATATATCTACTATAATCACCCAGGAATGTCCTTAACGCTTGTGACGTCACTCCACACCCACCAGCCCCTCTCATTAATAATCATGAGCAGGTGACGCAACTCCACATACAACAGCCCCCCTCATTAATAATCATAAGGTGATGTCTTCCAAATGGACACCCCCCCCCCCTCCATTCATAATAATTAGCGGCTGACGTCAATCTACACGGGGGGGGGGGGGGGGGGGCGAGGTGCCTCCTCCCCCCTACTCAGCGTCAACTTATAACCCTCACTACAAAGGCAGAACCCTCACGTCACGCAATCTCCGTAACGCTATTGAGACATAGAAGTAAAAAGGATGTCATGATGAATTTGGGAATATAACCTTAAAAGGAAATAGCTCTGTCACCGCGCCCTTACAAATTGCACACGAATGGATGCAATGAATATCACATCGCGGTCTGCTTTTCGCTTGCAAGTTTGAGATTTACTGCAATACACCCGTCCTTGGACGGGCAAAAGGCTAGTATGACAAGAATTGGCTTTTACTTGAGAACAGTCCTGAATTAGAATGTCAAGAAATATCGCTAAAAATAAAAGCAATACAAATAATACCTACTTGCTAATATAAATTGACACTGGTTTAACTCTTAGCGCTTACACAAAGGGGCACACCGCACGTCACTGTGGCCTCCGATTCTACACAGCCTTCCGCTTGCCTCGCTTGCATCGACCCCGTGCCCCGCGGCCCCTGACTGACGCGGCCAATGCTTGCCCTTCCCTTCTTGCCGGGTGAAGAACGTCCTCCATCACCACAACCTCAGGCAGCGCCACTGCAGTGCTCCTCTCGTCCTGCTTCGACTCCTCTGCTCCGAGCGGCATTTCCGAGCCCACAACTTCATTGGCCTCCTCACAAGCCATGGCTTCCACAGCAGGCTTGCTTGCATGTTCCTGGACCACCTCCTGGATCGCTGTATTCAACATCTTGCCGGCTTCAGCCATTTCTCCAGCAGCCTCTTCCGATGGCAGAACGGTTTCCTCAAACACCCCGATTGCCTCAACCACTGGCTTCTTCACCACCTTGCTTACTCTAACTGCCTCCACTGTCCATTTAATCGCCTTAACCCTACCACCTTTTACTGCATTGCCTGCAGGCCGTTTGGCCTTTGTTTTTGCAGCTGCTCCTGCTTTTCTGGCTCCTCCAGCCACCCTGGTGACTCCTTTAATCGGTTTTCTGGCTGCTGCTTTGATAGTAGGTGGTGGCAGTGCATCCATTGGCATCGGAGTGCACGGAGCAGGTGCAGTGGTTGTGGTAGCATCCTCTGCTACAGGGGGGCATTTTAATGGCTTTTCACTTCCATTATTGCTCATATCGGTGGGGACCACGCTCGCTGGCAGGGCAGCGTCTCCATCAAATTCGATTATGATGACATCATCGTCGGCTTCATTCTTCGACTCTTCCTCCCCATTATCGCCCACGCTCTGCTTGTCGCCGAATGATGCGTCGTGATCGTCAGCCAACGCGTCAACTTCCAAGTAAGTGTCATCGTCCAGGCTATCGGGGTCACCTTCTTCTGGAGCCTCATCTACCTCAAGAGGCTCATCTTCCTCACACATCTCAAGAGACTCATCTTCCTCGCACATCTCAAGAAGTTGCTCGTCATCTTGGAGCAGAACATCACTCTCCTTGGCCTTCAGGAGAAGCCCCTCCTCTACCACAAAGCATTCATTCTTCAAAGCCTCTTCATTCTCTGCCTCATCTGGCTCAACAACCTCATATTGCTCCTCCTCTGCCTTTTCCAGCTCAAGCTCTGCATTATTCCTTTCTTCTTCTTCTTCCTGTTTGCTCAGATCCTCTCCGAATGCTTTATTGATGCTCTCTTCCCTCTCGACTTGAAGGGTTGTCGTCTTTGATCCTGAGCTCTGTTTCGTATTGCTGGTCTTGACATCGATGTCTTTAGCCGGGAACTTTTCTTTTGCTTTTTCTGTGGCCAAAACATTTGCCTTCTTCGCCGCTACCTTCCCAGTCTGTACAACCTTGGCTCTGGGTTTTGATGTCCCCTTGGAGATTTGACCCTTCGTAGCGCTGGCTTCCGTGCCGCTCGTTTTTAAGACGGTCTTCTTCAAGGTGGCGTTTTTCTCCACGGTGGTCTTGCCAACAGTGGTCTTGTCATCCTTGCTCTTGTCATCTGCAGTCGTAATCTTTTTTACTTTCTCTTCAGGCGTTGAAGAGGAGCTCTCCACTGCTGAAGTCTCCTCTTTATGGTATTTCTTTTGCACAGAGACAGAATACAACCAGAAACACAAGAGGAAAACAAATCTATAACGCAATTACAATTTGGAATGCTCAGTTCTCCAGAATGTTGTGTCTTGTGGCATTAAAAGGACCTGAGAATGAGGTCTGAGATGTTAGTTCCAATTGAAAATGTCATCTTCTCATGATATGATGTCAACGGCACAATTGAAATTGTATTCACAAAACACCAGATGTTTTACTGCATAGTGGTCCATTAATTTTGCTTCGGGTTGACAAATGGTCCCCAGGGGTCATAAAGATCATAGCAGAAACAATGTTAATGACAATTAAAAACAAACATTGCTAGCATACCAATTACAAGCAATGACCCTTTTATGCGAATAACACAAAATAGCATTTATCCAATGGGTATGCTCAACACAAATAGATACCTACCTCATTCAAGGTTTTGAGTGTTTTGAAGTTGCATTGGTTGTGCAGGATACTCTTGCAAATTATGAGCACACTGTGCTTCCGCTCATTATTGAAGTTCTAGAAAAACAAACAGAAATATACGTTACGAGACCTCCTTTGCCAGTAGCAAGATATAGTATTAGGTTTTTTTTCGTGCGCCTTTTAGCGTCATCTGGTCCAACACCATGTGAGACTAGGCTCTAAGAAAAGCTGTCTCGGGTGTGGACCAATCCATTTCAAGGACAGTGCATACATTGTCAGAGTTGTCTCTTTTTTTTCCATTTTGACTAGAAATATACGTGTTCGAGACCAGGGTTTTCAAATTAATTTTTGAGTGTTATCGATACTAGAATGTAAAAAAAAATACAATATGAAAAAAAATGTTTGCAGCACACGTAAAAATGTTTAACAATAATAAAAGTCCAGTCCTGTGTGTGCACGTTTTTGTATCCGTTGGACCATGCAGTGACTGATGAGGCCTATCGCTGGTGCCTAACATTGGCTGGTTCTTGATCAATCAAGACGAGCGCAACGGTGCCGCTTCAACATTCGCGCGTGCCAATCAGTGCAAAAGTCAGTAAAATGGGACTGAATTCGATTCTAGGTTCTATGACTTTTGCGATGGAGAATCAATTCTAAAAAGGCTGCCGAACAAAACAATCCATTCACAGACTCTTAAGGGAGAGCAAAACAAGAACGTTTGCATCTGCAGAAAAATGGACAGCACGGTTCGCTACGTACGTTATGAAAGAAATTCAACAAAGGGAATGACCGTACCTTTTTATTAAATTGATGTTCTTCAGAATCCATGTGTTTCTTAATTACCCATGTAATGTTAAATATATTGGCATTACAGGCGTAGCAGCGAACAACCTCCATCGATTCCATGCTGTCGTCCAATATCACGTTGTCTGTGGACACACGCAAGCAAGCAGTCCCAACTTGGTCCTTGAGACATTGGCACAAAAATAGCTCATCGGCATCACCTATTTGACGCTTTATCCGTGCAAATTGTATACCACAATAGCTGAGGACCCATAGATAAGTGGGTAGGCAACAGCCAGGCAGTGAGCCGGTGCCAACAATTTGCCTAAACTGTGCAGTCCTCTTCTTGGTTCTTTCGGTAAAGTCACGTAGAAGGGAAATAATAAAAATAAAACATAATAAAATACAATTCTCACGACGTTACGGCCACAACGTAAGCAGCCGTCCCTCAGGTGAAGAACAGGTCTGTCGGAAAGACAGCGTCCGAATGTGCAGTCCTCTACATCTTACGATGTTTTCAATCAATCAGTGAGCATTTATTCATTTTATCGTGTGTTTATACAAGTCAATATCTTACATTTCAGAGGTCATTCAAAAACAACCAAAATTATAAGCAAGGTACAGTAAATCCACTCGTGTAATTAAGGACACACCAACACTACACCGACTACGAACCTCCGTTGGCATTGCTGGGCATGACTTTGTCCGAGTGGTCACCTAACATCTGATTTGAAGCCTTACGTTTCTGGTATCGCAGCTCGATGAACTCCTGAGAAGACAGTGGTGGAAATGACGGTTGCTGCGTTATGATACAATACGATAATAAATGTGCACGATGCAACGACTATCGCATTATCAGTTTCCCACAACTTTGTAATTGTATTTAACATTTTTATTGTCTTGTTTTGTGCTTTGATGCACGATTAAAGATTGCTTTTAAGTTATCCAACTGCAATTCACTCATAAGCTCCAGGAACTTATCTATTTCGTACAGAGGTATTACTGACTACATAACTGCTCAACGAAATTAACGGGTCAGAATGAAGATGCAGACGAAGATATTTTAGTAACGTTATTAGAGACGGCAGTGTGCCGAAGAAGACTAAAAATGGGAAGTGGCTATACAGTGGAACCTCGGGATACGACTGCTTTGGAACACGTCAAATTTGGTATACGTCGTGTTTTTTCGAGAAAAAAATGTCTTGGGATACGACGTCTTGCTTGGGATACGACGCGCTTACTAGAACTTGTATGGGTCGGGATGAGTCACCGCATACAGTACCCGCGTATACCCCATTCACGACTGCAACAAAGCGAGAGGGGCAGGGGAGGTGGGGGAGAAGGGCGGAGTGGCGTGGGGGAGAGGGACGGGGTGGCGTGGGGGAGAGGGGCGGTGGACGTGCACCCGGAGGGAGCTCTGTGCCTCACATTAATGGTCTTGGAGATGTGGGGGTCATCCACGTAACCCTCCTGAAGGTGCCTCAGAGACTCCATGTGAAACTTGCTCTGCATGTGCTGCTCCATCTCGCTCTCGTATTTTGTGCGGAAGCGGCACAGCGGGCACGAGAACACAGTACTGCCAGAAGGTGCACCATTGCGAGGAATCGCAGCAGGGAAGACACAGACACACATGACAACAGTTAAGCCAATGACACCATACATGGCATGACTGTCATTTTAAGGCACCTATTTATTATTTAATTTAATGGTATCTTTATTTCTCCAGTCAGGCCTTTATTTATTCAATAAAAGCTTTTGATCTGCGAGCCATTGATCCACAAAAGTATTATTGATAACACCTGGGGTGACAGATAATTAAAATATTCTTTAAGCGTTTTATCTCAACATCATTGTGGTGGTTCTTTATGAGAAATGTATGGTACGTTTTACAGAGGATGGTGTTGAGAAAAAAAAGCGCAATGCAAAATGTCCACACAATCTCGATAACAATAGGTTTGTTTGTCTGTAACACACGAGTACACAAAGGAAAACAAGAAAAAAAAGTTTGGCCAGCTGAGAAGGTGGGGGTGATGTGAGGTGGAGGGGTTGATTGGGCTGAGGTGGAGTGGTGGGGGCTGATGACCTCAGAGACACTGGGCTGTAGGGGAGAGGAGTACGGACATGACGCCAGTTTGGGGCGTAGGTTGTGAGTAGGGGGGGGGGGGGTTATGACGTCACGAGACTCATAACATTCAATGACATTCAATATTAAACTAAATGACTGAAAACTTTGACCTAACATACTAAAATATTCAAATTTCTTAAACGTAAATACAAAATGATAAAACGTACATATTCGCCATCCTTTTACGGTGAAAGTTACGCGGGTTCCTGCTGCTAATATTATATTTGCGGCATTTCATTTATGACCGTTAAATACCTCGTTTGCTAGTTAAGCAATAATCCTGAAAGATCATGTATTTGTTCTCTGCAATAATGATGTTTGCCTTTGTTTTGTTGCTGCCCTGCTTGGCAACATAGATCTCTCTTGTAAAATAGCCGGGCAATTGGCTAAACGGGATCATCCGTGGCTCTGTAGAGTCACCCTGTATAAAAGACGAACACATGAAGCAGATTTAAAATACACTCACGCATGTGTAGAGAGTCTGACCCTTTTGGTTTCTGCAAAGCAAGATGTACACATTTGTTAGTTGGAAGTATGATCTTCAAGGCTAGGGAAAAAGCTAACACCCAAACAGTTGTGGTTGTGCACACAGCATATCTTAACCAAGAAACTTGGTGGATTACTTAGGAGACGGATCCTATGAAGCAAATATATCTGACATGCTGCTACTATCTTCTTGGTTCTTTCGGTAAAGTCACGTAGAAGGGAAATAATAAAAATAAAACATAATAAAATACAATTCTCACGACGTTTCGGCCACAACGCAAGCAGCTGTCCTCAGGTGAAGAACAGGGCTGTCGGAAAGACAGCGTCCGAATGAACACCACCAAGCTTGGCAGCGTATATTTACAAATATATTTACAAATATACGCTGCCAAGCTTGGTGGTGTTCATTCGGACGCTGTCTTTCCGACAGCCCTGTTCTTCACCTGAGGACAGCTGCTTGCGTTGTGGCCGAAAGAAGAACAGGGCTGTCGGAAAGACAGCGTCCGAATGAACACCACCAAGCTTGGCAGCGTATATTTGTAAATATATTTGTAAATATACGCTGCCAAGCTTGGTGGTGTTCATTCGGACGCTGTCTTTCCGACAGCCCTGTTCTTCACCTGAGGACAGCTGCTTGCGTTGTGGCCGAAACGTCGTGAGAATTGTATTTTATTGTTTTATTTTTATTATTTTATTATTTCCCTTCTACGTGACTTTACCGAAAGAACCAAGAAGATGAATCCCTGCAGTCACGAAAGCTTTAAATCGAAATCCTGCTACTATTGTGGGGTTTAAAGTCGTGCTGCGGCATGAGGATTTTATCATGACCCGGCAGTAAACGCATTTTCCACTTGTTACAGAGGTTCGTGGTCAAAATCTGGTTAATACTGCAGATGTATTCACCAGAAATGTACACCATCTACTTTACAGTGGCCATTAATGGATCCCGTGACATCATTCAAAATGGCATCATGGTCCAAATTGGAAAAATTACCCACAAATTAATCAATAGGGAACTACACACACAGCGAGCATGGCCCCCTACTGGCAGACTAATGCCCGCTTTACACTTTGCGGCTCATAGGGACAGCTGCCACTTGGGGTACCCTTCCATTGCTTGAGATCAGATGCAAAGCACTTTTAATTGCTGAGGCATTTAAACACTATATAAATGCAAATTTAGTTGCTATTCCTAATCACTTGGAGGCACAACAACACCAACAAAGAAATTGGCTGCATACTTCATGGGACCTCCTTTGCCAGTACCAAAATATGAGAATAAGTTTTCCCCTTTTTTCTGGCAACAAAACAGGTGTTAAGATGTTAAACACCAAACTGAAACCTTTTACAAGGAATTATGTCTGCATTAACCACAATACTTGTGGTCAAAATGCAAACAAAAAGCACATTCTGATAATATATGCATTGTCTTTGAAACTGATTGGTCCACACCAGAGACAGCTTTCTTTGGAGCCGAGTCTCAAACACCAAAAGGCGTCCTCTGGTCTAACACCAATCCAATCACAAATCAATTTCAAGATTGCACGTAACATCTTCACGAACCTCCATGGGCTCGCTCAATCCAAACTCTTACCGGGCTCGACGATACTGCCCGACTCCTCATTGCTGGCTTTCTTGTCAGATGGTCCCAGAGAAGGTGACAACTTCCTCTTAATTGCGCCCGTCTCTTCACTGGTGGCCGCCGGCTTGTCCGTCACCCTTGGCTTCTCCTACGCCCGTGCATAAACGTGTCCATCAGACATCCACACGAGCGCACGTGCGCATTCAAGGACACCACCCCCGCCCCCCCCCCCCCGGCATCTCTCATCCATGTATCTTCACAACTCTTGCTGAACCGTGCAATTCATTACAATTCGCAGAGCGACATTATCTGGCCAGAATGTAAAATCAGGTGGGCGTAGGAGACCGCATGTGGTCACAAGTAACGAGCAATTGTTGGCGGCAGCAAGAAGGGCATGGATTTCATTTCTGACTCGGGCACCTTTCTACGCAGAGTTTCCGATGAGCACGGTTGGCTACGTACTGTGCGAAAAGTTCAAACATGTCTACGAACATTATACCCCTGTTCTGCGTGGGTTTCCGCTACATTCTCTAGTTTCCTCCCATAGATAAAAAACACACATGCAATTTAACTGGTATTGGCCAACACATTCCAATGCTGAAAAAGTACCTGCAAATTACTCAATTGCGATTACACAGCTACATTGCCCCCTACTACTGAGAAAACTTACCAGGACCCTCCTGAAAAGTACTCTTGAGTGAGGCTTTCCTGGGTAAACAAGCAATCCTACTGGACATGTGTCAAAAAGAGCTTCATAGCTCATCGTATTCCTCCAGTCTTAATAAAGATTCGGATTCAGACAAGCGTAATAGCCGTGACGTTTAAATCCAACATTGTGCAGACGATCTGCAAACCACATTACATGACCTTCTCACATTTTCCATATTTCTCCCAATCAACTTGAACGGCCGACAATGAAATAGGTTCATACATGAAAAAAATGGCAATTACTGATATGAGAGAACTATTATGTGCAGTATTGCCTAGTGGAACCTAATAATCCTTATGAAATTAAAACAGGCCTATCTAGCCACGGCTATCTTTGTGGGAGGGAAACGGTTAATTGACCTCACTGAAGAAACAGTATGACGTCCTCCCCAATTAGGGGATGTGAGTGACCATTCAAAGGAGCTCGACGACAGGGTTAAGGAGTTGGGGGGCTTCTACTTACAGAGCCCGTGCCAGCTCCTGCTGAGCCTGTCGGCTTTTGAGGCTTCTGACTTGTGCTGGGTGCGCCACCGGCACCGGCGCCACCGCCGCTGCCACCGCTGCCGCCACCGCCGCTTTCGTCTCGGCCGCCAGCCTTCTTCTTCCGTGAAGCGGTCAGCCCCAACAAGGGCACCACCTTCTTCTCCCTGAAATCCGCGGCCGCAGCGCCCCTCCAGGACGGAGTGCCCCCGCGCCCACGGTCCCTGCGATCCGTGAAGTCTCTGCCAGCCCTATCAAAGGGCCTGCCCCTCTGGCCTGGTTTGGTACCGTAGCCACGGAAGCCCGACCCATAGGGTGCTCCCCCGTGGTCTGTCGGCGGGCGGCCCTCACGGTTGTTGAAGCCTGGCCTGCCAACCTGCCCGCGAAAGTTACGGGAGGTGCGGCCACGGCCATAAAAGCCTCGCATATCTGCAGGTGCCTTGAATGCAGCCTGCTCTGCGTGACCTCTGTAGCCGTGCTTATTGGACATGATGCCAGGCTCAGAAAACTCCTTCCCGCTGCCCCAGCGATCATCATAGCCACCTCCATAGCCACCTCCATAGCCCTGGGGGCCGTGTTGTTGGCCCCTGGGGGGCTCATTGTAGTCATAGCGATCAGGGCCTCCTGCCAATCCACCCGGACGACTGAAGGGCTCGTTGTAGCCTAAGCTCTGTTTGGAGCCCGTGGGTGGTGCGGAGTTATACGACTCGCGATAGTTGTACCTGGAAATCACAAGTCGTGTCACACAGAAACATGTACGAATGAAGAGGGGCGGGTGGATGGAGACCGGAGCAGTGTGATGATCTATGCTCCGTGTCCTGCACCTCTCTGCAGGCTGCTCAAACCTCATGGAGCCTGCGAGTGCTGCACACACCCATTCAGAGTGCAATGGAGCAGTGCTTGCATTTGGCTCGACAACTTTCACACTTATAAAAAAAAATCCTTAATTTCACGATTTCATGTCACAGGAACTGCAATATCCTGGGAGCCCTAACAAACTCAATAAGCTCAAGAATGACTCATCAGTACATAGCTATCACTCAAAATGTAACCTTCTACAATTCAAGTCAAACTAAAAAGTGTGTAATTTAGATGTTCTAAAGGAACCCTAAATAAGCCAACACTATGAAGAAAGTCAATTAGTGGGAAAAGTGTGTTTTGTACGAGCTTGGACGGCTGCTTAATGAAAAGTAGCTTCCAATTTTCAGACTTGGGATATGACACCAGCATACATGGACTGGCCCAGGGGTATGCGGTAACCCAGTAAACAACTCTTGTGAAGGAGTCAAGCTTAAGGATCTTTAACATCTACTTCATCGTAGATGGTGGGCTTCGGTAAATAGACGCCAAAATAACCAGACAGCTGCAGGAATCAATCCACCTAACTCCATGCAAACTGACTCTGGGTTCGGCGCTCATCACTGGCTTAGTCAGCTGCCAGTTCACATCAAGGTGATCTCCTTGAAGTAATGTTTGCATTGCAAATGTATTGAATCTTCATGGGAGAATTGCGGCAAGACGGCCCAACAGTTGAACCGTCAACACATGGGAGTGAAACATGAGGGGGGGGGGGGGGGTGCAACCTACAGCCCACGGGCCACAACGGGGCCCACGGCATGGGTTTGACTGGCCCCTGAGCACCAGGGGTACGAGGAAACTCGGTGGGCAACTCGATGGTCTGTCCACCGTGAACAGGCCACCGTGATGTCACATCCGCCAACGTGGCCTGCAACAGGAAGCACGTAGATGTCTTGCTATCGGCCGCTTCAAGCGAGCCGTATGCGGAACCAGTTTTTACGCATTCGTAATGGGGCACTCTGCAGTTCCATTTTTGCGGAACGCTTCGAGTGAAGTGGGGACATCACTGTCTGTGGTTACCTGCAGCTGTGGCTAAAAGTTGTCAAGCTGTACGCTTGCCAGCAGGGAAAGAGGCCACTATCACGTGTTCTGTCTGCCGCACGCATTGACGAACGTGCACACACACACAGCTGCAGGCAACAGATGCCAGGTTCATTCAGTACAGCCCTGCACAGGGCCGCACATGAGCAACGGATTGATTCCTAGCGGAGCCGAAAAGCCAAATCACTCAGAATGTACCAGACCCAACGATGTCTCAGAAGCAGGCTTGAGCCTGGACATTGCTTGGATGAGTGACCTCCATACACAACAGGCTATGTGGTAGACAGAGAGAAAAAGAAAATCTGAAGTGGTTTTGTACTTGAGCCTCCACCAATTCACACTGACTAGCATGGTAATGTATGTAAAAATATCTCCACAATACGCACGGTGCGGGAAGGCCTTTGTCCAACAGCGGATTTAAAGTGGCTGTACCTGTACATAGCGCCTTCCTCATAAGGGTCAATTTCCCATTTAATGCTGGAACTTGATAACCGACATCAGTAGGTTCTATTGCTGGTATAGACTTGTATACAAACTTTGCCAGAGTGCTGATTACAAATGTTGCACTGCAGGCTACCATGGCACGTCTTCTTCAAGAGGTCTAACATTGTCTGTGATATCCCGCTGCTGTCTTGTGTGAAACTCAAGGTGGTATTATCTTCACAAAACCGTGAACTTTTACCTACAAACTGACACTGAGTGTAGGGCGAAGGGAGATTTGTAAATCACACTTAATATGGAATATTTAACAATATCTAGTTTACTCACAAAGCAACATAAATGTTGTGTTATTTACTGTGAGATTAAGTGTAGAGCAGTAGTAGAGTGAGTGGCTCACAATCAGAGGTTTGTGAGTTCAAATCTTGATTGGGGATTGACTAAGCCCATCATCCCTCCAATATATATAAAGTGGGTACCACTTGGTGAGAAAGTCGATTGTGGCTGTCCTCGAGTTATACTTGCCCCCACCACAGGAACACGGAATTTTCACCACCGGCTCAGGCCTGCTAACAGGCGATGAGCACCACGTCAATGCTCATTCGAGAAGTAAAGCCCTTCAACTATTGATCGTGTTTCTTTAAGACATGCACAGAATAAAATGTAGTGACCCGTGACACGCCAAACACAGGACGTATCTAGATGTGCCGCTTTCACTAAAAATCGAAGGTGTTTTTAAATAACGTTCTCATTGTGAGCATTATGAGCCACTGTTGTCTGGAAATCTAAGCAGGAGTGAGGTCGAAACTCAACAATGATACTCGTGGGTGTAATTGTTTTTTGTGAGTCACCCCTACCGCTAAAAAAATGTGATCCACTGATTAACATTTCAGTATAGAAGTACAAGCTCGGCATAAGAAGTGAGCATTGTTTGAGTACCATGTGTTAGATACGGTCTGTAGTGCAATTTGACCATTTAAATGCATTTGTTAATCATGTAATAATGGAAAAGAAAACAATCTAGCGTAGAAAGGCATGGCAACGATGAAATAGGACAGCTATGGTCTGCAGTATTTTCCTGAAGGAGCATTCTGGCGAAATTTTTATAAAATGTCATGTTAGTATAAAGCTTCCGGTCATAGGGATGGTCAAGGACTTACCCACTTTTGGCGGATCGCTCATGAGCATACCCTTGACCTAAATGGGATGCGGAAGGAAAACACGTCAACTACTTTAATGCAATGTAACAATCAAGCAACATAAATATTGGAACCCTAACGACACATTGTGCAAATGGTTCTAGGGACAAGCTCACAAATGTGCTTACTTGGAACCATGTTTCAACATGCATCGTCAAGAGTTTTGTTGTGCCACTCATCAACGTAAAACATTGTAAATGTAAAAAAAACAGGTGAGTCTCAAACAAATATGTTGCACACATTATTCCCAATACGTTCAGACGTGACGCTACCCACTACTTGACACACAAATATACATATACAGACATCAGAAACCTATCAATTGTCTTCATGAAGTTAACATGCAGAATATCACTGACTAAAACTCAGTAGAGTTCAATGGAAATTAAAAGTCTTGAACCAAGTAACAGCAACTAGGAATTAGGACCCAATTTGATTCTATTACATATGTTTTACGTTTGTAATTTTCTGGTCAAACAATATAAAAATAATAGGAGTAATGAGGTACAAATATACTCACATGGGACAACTATAATAATGTCATGTGCAACAGCAAAATATATATTCATATCAAAGGTGTTACTTAAACATTACTGCATAAGCATAATCGAGATAACAATTTCAAGGTTGTATATACAACAATTTCACATGACATGGTTATCCTCACCAGGTACCATGCGCCATTTACTGAAATCAGAATACAGAAAACCAACATGACTTGATTCCTTCCACCCCTAGAAATAATTGCCAACATCACAGCATTATCCAGCAGCTCTGGACAGAAAACAAACCCATCACATAAACACGACAGGACACTTGGGCTGTACACCGCACCTGTATGCAGATGTTCATACACACAATACAAAAAAATCCCCAATTTTATCCCAATTGTGCTCTCGATGTTAAATCCATTAAAGTATATTTTCGGATCTCTGTCACAACAGAACAACCCTTAATACTGGACAATGGCCCACAGAAGCAGATTTCACAGAGATACCTGCGTGATCCCTGGTCCACACACAGAACAGGGTAATGTGTGCCCACTCGCTCTGCATGAGAGCGAACTTTGTCAAAATCAAACCGTTATTTTTTATTCTCAGACCTGGAATTTATGGAAATTAAGTGCAGAACCAAATTGAGTCTGATGGGTTTTTTTTGCAGTCACTGACAACTGGGCTGAGACCATCCAGTCGGCACACTTGAGGAGCCGGTTTCATCACAGACAGCTGCCTGGATTTGAACCCAGCCTGTCAGCAGTGCCAGCTCAACGCTCTGACCCCCGAGCTGCTTGGCCACCTCTCTCACACACGTAATCACAAACATAAATGCATCATCGCACCTTCATCAGTAACTGGATCGTCCTTTATCATCGTCATTATTGTGGCCAGAAGATTGGCAGCTGTTTTGTATGTCTCTCTTTCCCCTTCGACGGGTCGCATGTCGCCTGAACAGGGAATCAGAAAGTGAAATCATTAACATCAATAAGCAGACAGAGAGAGATATGAACTAAATTAGCAGGGCAATAATTGGCTTTGAAGAGTTTTTTTTATATTTTTGTACTGAGTATTCTTTACTGTGATATGCTGCCATGGTGTAATGGTGAGCACACTGGACTTTCAATCCAGGTCACAGCTCAATTCTATCTCCCGGCACGGCATTTGAAACAATGGGAACGTTTCTTAATCTGTCTCCCCAGCAGTATAAATGGGACCACTGCAGTTTTTAGATTGGCAGGTCAAACGTAGTGGATTAAAACAGGGGGTAATCCCAGCCCTCAGGATGTTTGGCCAGCATGGAAGTGTTGGTAAATATCCCCTCTAGAGATCCCTCCCGTGGAGGTCCTTCCACCAACAGTTGTGTTACTCTTTACAATAAGGCCACCTGACTACAGCCGAGCAAACACATCCATACCTTGGGATGATCGGTGTCCGGACCCCGAGCTTCCTCGGCCGTGCTTGTCGTAATCATCATGGCCCGAATGGTAGAACTCGCGACCTGACCTGCCTGAGCCTGAGAAGAGTTGAGAATATTATAAGGAAGAGAGAGAACAATTCCTGCATGGAAATGCAAAGGTGTCAAAACCGAGTTACATTATCAACTGAATTAAAAACTTATTGGATTGTGATTTTTAATCGACATTCACAAAGGACCTATGTGACATTATGGAACATGAGGATGTTACAAGCAGGGGTAGTTATATAAAATACAAGGTTTGATATGCAAACATTTAATGAGTGAACACACAAAGACATTTAGTCTCATCACTTCCAATGATTACATCCAGTAATTTGATTATTTTCAAATAGAATGTTCCTATTTCAAGGTCTGGGTGTGAGAATAAAAAAATCAAACTTGTTTTAAAATCATAGACTTTGACAAAAGAATACCAAAGGAAACATTTACAAAAAATGTTCGCGTAGAAATACATTTTAAAACCACACTTTTACAAAGCCCGCAGTTGATGGAATAACCTGCTGGTCAGCAGTTTAATCTGCTCAATATTTCAGTGTCAACATTCCATTCTGTTGGTTCACCATATTTATGTTATCTTGGGACTATATGTTAAGCGAAGACAAGTTTATCTACATTGTCATGCCAAGTTCGAACTGTCCGATTGAATAGACTGTAATTCCAGTCAGAACAAAATATATTATATATATAGACCTCACTCAGAGAGACACCCACCCGCACAGCGCACACCACACACACGCGCCTCGGACATTCATCCTCTACGAAGACGCTGGTGGCCAAACCATCGACTGCATCCGAAAATCAACAAGCCGACCGACCACACACACATGGCAATTCATGGGTTGAGGGGGCCGGCTGAGGGAGGTTTAGGCCTTCATCCAGCAGTGGATCGCATACCTGTCAACCCCTTATCAGTGCCGGCCTTATTACAGACCAATTCAGATCTAATTTGGTCACCCCGTGCCCTTTATACATCTCAACGTTCACCCGACAAAGCCCCACCACAAGGGAGAAACGCAAACAAATACACAAACACATTTTGGTTTGCCCCTATTGAAACGGCTGTGCGTCGTATGGACCTGAAAACTCAGTTTCCCTGTACAAGCGCACGACTAAACCTTACGGGTTGACATCTATGATGTGAATGTGTTGGGGAGAGTAGGGGGGGTGTTAGGGCTTCATCCAGCAGTGGATTGACCACGGCTGTGGATGCGGCCTTCTCTATCCCATGCGAAGGCCATTTTGAGCGTGCAAGCCGATGAGGAAGCGACACGCAGATACGAATAATTGTCTTTAAAGTACCCCTCGCTACGACGCGAAGATCGAACGTTTTTAGACGGGTCTGTAATTAAAACCAAAAACGACGGCAATCCCATACGCGCTTAAGGAGCTTTGATGTAAAAATGTTTTACCTGCGAAAGAGTGATCCATGATCAACGGGTCCTGCGGTGGTGAACCGGCTCGATGACGTCACCGCCGTCGATGGCGCGATGTCGTCATCGCTTAAGAAGTATGCGGAGCGCGCGATGACGTCATCGCGTCAGAAGTATGCGGTGTGCGCGATGACGTCGCGCGTCCCGCCCCCCCTTCACGCGCGTTCGTCACGCAAACGCTGCTGGTGACGTCACGCAAACGCTGCTGGTGACGTCACGCGTCCGCGAAAAGCGCGGGAAAATTTGAGAGCAAAGCAATTTGTGACCTCGATTCAAATTTACACGAATAAATTACCGTGATTCTGATGCGCCGGGCCAAACTAAGTGTCAAATTGTCAATTCCACTGCTGGATGACAACTCCTCGCCTACGCTTCTTGATGTTTGTTTAGATTATTTAGCTGAAAAGAAGCTTCTAGCTCACTGGGCCTTACCTGGTAAAAAAAATATTAGTTTTATCCGTATATTTTTTTGGTGATTTGCTTACCTTTGCTACACTTTGCACTCTAATCGTGTTGTTGCATTGTTTGCTGTTGTAGCGTTCTATCCAGCCCCGACTGGACATTGTAAAAAAATATCTTAACAGCTCGATGAGAGGTTTTTCACTTTTTTCTGGCAACAAAACAGCTGTGTTAATATGTTAAAACACCAAACTGAAACCTTTTACAAGGAATCACGTCTGCATTAACCACAATGCTTGTGGTCAGAATGCAAACCAAAAACAAACTGATAATATCTGCATTGTCCTTGAAACTGATTGGTTCACACCAGAGACAGCTTTCTTTTGAGCCTCTGAGCCTCGTCTCAAACGCTTCACAGCTCTTCAGATTTCTCCACTTTAGAACCTGTAATTGTGGAATGCTTTGGACCCATAGGCTTTCTATGGGAACCGGTTCCCTATCTCTTAACATGGGCCCATAGGCTTTCTATGGGAACCGGTTCCCTATCTCTTAACATGGACCCATAGGTTTTCTATGGGAACCGGTTCCCTATCTCTTAACATGGACCCATAGGCTTTCTATGGGAACCGGTTCCCTATCTCTTAACATGGACCCATAGGCTTTCTATGGGAACCGGTTCCCTATCTCTTAACATGGACCCATAGACGTTCTATGGGAACCGGTTCCCTATCTCTTAACATGGGCCCATAGACTTTCTATGGGAACCGGTTCTCTATCTCTTAACATGGGTCCATGGACTTGCTATAGGAACCGGTTCCCTATCTCTTAACATGGGTCCATAGACTTGCTATGGGAACCGGTTCCCTATCTCTTAACATGGCCCCATAGACTTTCTATTGGAACCGGTTCTCTATCTCTTAACATGGGTCTATAGACTTACTATGGGAACCGGTTCCATATCTCTTAACATGGGTCTATAGACTTACTATGGGAACCGGTTCCCTATCTCTTAACATGGGTCTATAGACTTACTATGGGAACCGGTTCCCTATCTCTTAACATGGGTCTATAGACTTACTATGGGAACCGGTTCCCTATCTCTTAACAGGGGCCCATAGACTTTCTATGGGAACCGGTTCCCTATCTCTTAACATGGGCCTATAGACTTTCTATTGGAACCGGTTCTCTATCTCTTAACAGGGGCCCATAGACTTTCTATGGGAACCGGTTCCCTATCTCTTAACATGGGCCTATATTTAACATGGGCCCATAGACTTTCTATTGGAACCGGTTCTCTATCTCTTAACATGGGCCCATAGACTTTCTATTGGAACCGGTTCCCTATCTCTTAACATGGCCCCGTAGACTTTCTATGGGAACCGGTTCCTTATCTCTTAACATTGCCCGTGGACTTTTAATAGGAATCGGTTTGAGAATCACTCGGAACGATATCTTAGGGGGCGTCCATAAATGACGTCACGCACCTCGGGGGGGGGGGGGGTCAGACATTTGTGACGATGTGTGACGAGGGGGGGGGTTTTGAGAAATGTGATGTCAAATCAAAATGCGCAACTTTAACTAAATATAGACAATACGTTCTACTTAATGAAATAGACTTTTTAATAAATGTTTTCTCCTACAACATCAGAGTGCAGCGCCACGTTAAATATGCACGACAATGACAATAGTTTAAAGCGATTTGAAGCATGTTTTATTTTTTTGAGGTGGGGGCAAAGTTTTGTGACGTCATATTTGAGGGGGTGTCTGACTTTTTGTGACGAGGGGGGGGGGGTCAAAAATCGTCCAAAATCGCGTGACGTCATTTATGGACGGCCCCTTAAACAAACCAGGAGCCGAATCTGAAAGAGTTCATCGACCACGTGCTGCCGCCATGTGGCGGAGCGCGGCAACTGCAGTCGTGACCACGTGTCTGACGTCACAAGGACACGTTCTAATCCCTTCCTCACTGCTTGATTGTAATTGATGGGCCCCATTCACGCGTTTCTCCTCGTGAGATGACAATCCGGCCAAGTGGCTCAGCGATAGGGAAGGTTGCGAGTTCATATCGCGGTTGGGTGGGTTGCCTCAACCCATCATCCCTCCGGGGTCGATAAAGTCATCACCACTTTGCGGGGAAGTCAACGGTGGTTGTCTGTCTGTGTATCGTGCGGCAGGAGTTGATTTCTACCGATATCTGGTGGTATTATTGAACTTTATTTCAGTATACTGCACAGTTTTGATAGATCTAAGACGACTGAGAAAAATGTGCTAGTTTGAAATATACTGACAAATATGTGAGCCCAATTCTAAGCTTGAAAAAATAAAATAAAAAGTCCCAACTAAACTGGTTAAAACGGCTCGATAACTATTCAGGTCCATTGCACAAACATTAACCTCAATGTGACCTCACCCGGTTAATGTTTAGACTCGTTTTCTATAGCATCGTCCATGCAAATTACATCTCACGACGATTGGCAACCACAGACAACGTTTGAAGGCACCCAGACGATGAGCGGGCACCAACGATTGTGCGACTTCCCTGGTCCTCTCTATATGAAGGTGTCATCAGCTAATCGACGAGTGTTTTCACGTGGCAGAAAACTGGAGCACCCGGATAAAATGCGTGCGTAAAAGGTGGAAACAGTCGTTGGAGTCTACATTTTCTGCTGTACCGCCTTCTCCTGGCAACATTTGTGTGAGCCACTAATCGTCGCCTCCACAGCCCTGAATTACAACCATGTGCAGCCACCACCCGGATTATTTACCGAGGAAAGCCTCACTGAGTCTCAAGACTCTTCCTGGACAGTCCCGTGGTTCAACCGTGTGGCGCCACGGTAGCGAGATGTTAACTACCTCGCCTGGTATACAGACGACCATGGGATTTGTATATTTGGAGTTTTCATGGACTCTGCGTGGTCGCGTGGATTTTTCTCTGGGTTCCGTTTTTCTCTCCACATTTGGAAACATGCGTTTAGAGTATTCCGCTGCTAGAAATGTCCACGCAATAAGCCACTTCGTTGAGCTATCAATTGTGGCCAGGTCGCTTCTGAAAAAGAGCTGTATAGCTCAGTCAGCCTTACCTGGTAAAATAAAGAAAACTGTTTAGTTTAATTGTTTATATGTTTAGGCAATTACATTTTAAGGAAAATATTGCCTGTGGGAAGGAAACATTGTAGAACCTGGATAAAACCCACACATCCAAGTGGATAGCACTCAAAGTTCCACACGGGCTGTTTTACGAACCTACCTGCTGTACTTCCAACTTCTTGCCACGTCTCAGCCCATTGGACTAGAAGTCTCACAATGGTAGAGTATCGTTCATAAGTCAGGAGTCGACTGAACCCTTCCATACCATCCCTCTTGGGCAGGGGTCGGCAACCAAAATAACAAGAAGAGCCATTTCTTTCCAATTCGGTACAAAATTCAGTATTTCAAGAGCCGCAATGCATCTGAGTACATACGTACTCATCGTCAAGAAGCAGCCCGTAAAGAGCCGCATGCGGCTCCGGAGCCGTAGATTGCCGACCCCTGCTCTTGGGTAAAAGAAAAAGTCGAAGTGACTTTCTGCTCAAATGAGCTTGGAGGTATTGATAATCACTTCTTGTCTACGGCCCTGAACCAGTGGTGGAATATCCACATTTCTGTGGCAGAGGCGAGTGTATCCATAGCACAACCACTCTTGACTTACCCACAAAGTGGTGCTCATTTAACAACCCTAAAGGGATGATGGGCTGAGTCAACTCCCAATCAGCATTATAACTTCCAACCTCTCGAATAATCTACCGCTGAGCCACTTGGTCTTTTTGGTGGATCACATTAAACCAATCAGTGTGAACTTAACAATGAAAAAAATATTGGAACATGTTTGGAAATTTACGTATGTATCAAGGAGAGAGAGAGAGGATGGCTCCTGCCATACGAATGTGAAATATCCACCACTGACTCAGGGCCTCGATTTGAGACGAGCGGTGCCTCCCGTTGTATGCACGATCGTGTCGCTCGACGGCTTCCGCGAATTTCCACGAGCCCCGAGAAACCTGTACACACTCACCTGTGTGAGTAGGTGTGCCTCTGCGTGTCATTATCCGGAGTCAGGTTGCAGCGTGATCTGCCGTTGCCCTGCCAACATCTCCATGGGGGAAGATTCAAGCTCAAGCCTCTGTGGGACTAACCCTTAAGGGATCCCCTCAGCCCGAAATATCAAATGCCAACACCACGAACACAGTATGGGCTTAATAGGGGATGAGATGTAAAATGAACAAGCTGGCAAGCCGGTCCATTGAAAGAGCATCTGCTTGTGATGTCGCCGGAGTGGTTCAAAGGTACAGTAAGTTGGCTGAGCTGGAACCAATGAGTTGATGGTTTAAAAAATAAAACTATTTTCATTTCACCAGGTAAGACCCACTGAGCTCTTTCGCTCTTTTTTAGAAGCGACTTGGCTACAAATGATAACTCAACGAAGTGGCTTATCACGTGAAAATGTATATCAGCCAAATACTCTTAAACGCATGCTGATTTTAAGTGTGGAGGTAAAAAAACAGAAGACCCGGAAAAAATACACGTAACCACGGCGAGAGAGAGACATGCAAACTCCACCCATCTGTGATTAAAATTGGATTCGCAAGTGTCGAGTTGATGGTGTCAGCTCAGTCACCAATGGACTAAATCCACAACAAAGGCGTCACGTTAGTGAATTTAGTTCTGTACTTATTGTGAATGAGAAAAAAAATAGTTTGTCATTTAAAGAACATTACTGTCAGTGGCAGAGTGATTGGGAATATGCTGCTTCGTAATGTGCGGAGTGGAGGTAATTTGAAGGGCTCTCAGAGGTCACTCTGTGATATGCGTTTCTTTTGGCCATACTTTGAACACATCCCTTCAGCCGCACAGCCTTCTGGGAGTGCATCTTTCAGCAGCAATGGTTCGATACAAGTAAACTTTGAACTAGATTAGACAAAACAGTGTCTCGTCAGCAGAGTCAGTTTTGCTTCAACCAATGCTGGCACACTGCCAGATGTTTATCGGCAAGGACCATCTCCGTTAGATATTTGTCCCAGTTCGACGCTAAACTACAAAATACAAAAAACTAAATAATAATTAGCGTCATTCTGGGGGATATAAGTAACAGAGTAAATGAATAGGCAATACACCTCATTCCCATGTTTGTCTCTCCGCATGGCCAATGGTATGTGTTTACAATAAAACCGTGCTTCACGTGGTCTAGGTGAGTATTGGTGAGAAGAGACACGGAAGAGATGAAGCACTTTCACACACACTCCGCTATGAGATTGGTTGACGTGCGACATTCAAGCCAATAGGAACATTTAATTTCTCAGAGTTTAAATGTATCAAAATAAGTGATGGGTTTAGTGCTCAAACCCAGATTCAAACGCAGTGTCCGTCACACTGAACCGTGCCAACTCGAAGCTGTGGCCAAAATAGGGAATAACATCTGAGAGGATGACCATCGTGGATATCGATTAGATCAGTTCGGGTTTCGGGGAGCAAGACAGACGCAACGTGGCAGCCGCAGTGTCCTCGACATAAACCATTACGAGTCCCCCACGTACCACGCGGCGACCTCAAGAATTCAACATCCTAAAACAAAGCTCGCGTTTGCGGCGCTACATTCACGGTGGAGGCGACGGGGTTCAGCGGCCGCTGTGAACAGACACACTGCCACAGCTGCGGTGGGGCGAGTTAGGGACTGAAATCCGAGAGCTAGTCTCGGAGAACGGCTAAAAATACACCGCATTAGAGACACGTCCACTGTGCACTTGCTGCGGTTGGCAAACCACATGCCTACATACACATACACAACAAGCTGCAAACGCGCGTCCGCTGATGATAATGACACTGTGGTGAGTCGGCCCTGAAGTGGTGTTTGAACTCGCAACTTTCTGGTCGTAAGCCAAGTGCTCTGAACTCAGTTCCACCTCAGAGGAAAATAACAGCACCTGTTACTTTCGAGGTTAGGGCGCTTCGCCAGCACCACGGAGATCCTGGGATAGAATCTGGGTTCAGCCACTCAGGAATACGCTGAGTTTTCTAGTGATGGTCTTGGATCCGGTTCACCAATGACTGCACGCGAATAACCAATGGCGGAACCAGGATTTTTAGATAGGGGGGGCAACCCCTCCAACAATGAAAAATGATAGAGGAGTTGTTAGTAAGTAAGAACTTGTCCCTTGCTTTGTATTCGACGCGTGTAAGGCGATGGCACAGCCATCGATCGAGGGTCGAATTCGAACTGTGTGTGATCGGCATCGCGCTCGCTGAAGGTGTTTGCCTTCAGGCAAGTCGTGTCCTGTATACGCAACTGCGCACAATTCCGTGAGTCACTTATAACTGCTTTGCCGTTATTTATTGCCAATTATGGACTCAGACTATTGTCCTGTCATCTCATAGAGTTCCTGGCACATAATAATATGCTACACAGTGGCAGTGGGGGTCGCAAAATGCCGATTTATTACTAATAAACCCCAATGATCCGATCGAAATTAAGGAAACGTCGTGATTTTTATTTTATTTTTAATTTTACTTTTATTAATTTTAATTTTTACCTACGTGACTTTACCGAAAAAACCTAAGAATATAGTTATCACGTCGCTGAACGCGTGTCAAATCTGTCACTGCTTCGGCATCGCCATCACCACTCGAGATCAGAGGATCCTGTTAACAACCTGATGATGCGAGATGTGATTTCCCTTCGACACCGACAACACCACGGCTGGTGCTGCCGAAGCTGCAACAAAAATTGGCCAAGTTTGATTTGACGTGACACTTTCATTCGCTGTGTCAGGTGGCGGAGGGCTCAGGACGCATATTTGTACACGACCGAACCCAAAAGAAAGCGGTTATGAATCACGATATTTGTCGTGGAAGCCTACGTAGAAAATTATCTCAATGTTTTCTTGCTGTGGATTTCACACCTGATGATGATTGCTTGTGTTGCAGTCGAAACGTCGTGAGAATTTTTATTGTTTTATATTTATATTATTTTATTATTTCCCTTCTACGTGACTTTACCGAAAGAACCAAGAATATGAATCCCTGCAGTCACGAAAGCTTTAAATCAAAATGTATCTCAATGTTGTTTACACTGTGCTGCTATCAGTGCAGGGTGGACTACCTTATCGGCGTTTAACCTGGGCAGGAGTCTGTAAGTTTGGGTGGCAGAAATTAATGATAATATTATAATAATTCCATTTATACAGCGGCTTTTGATCAAGGATCTCAAAGCGCTGTATAGGACACAACAGCGGCAGTCTATTATAAATCAATTTTAAGAATCCATTTACTAAATTAACTAAACGTTTAACAAGCAGAAGTGTATAACCAGGTTTGTAAGACGTATATTTAAAATGTCCACAAACTCCCTCTGATATCCTCGTGGAAGAGCGTTCCATGGCCTGGAGTCGACACGGGGAAAATGTCTCGGTCACCGATAGACCAAAACCTCGACCTGGGAATGCAGAGAAGATGTGAATCCTCAAGATCTTCGAAACCTTGAGGGGTCGTATGGGTGCAGGATGTCAATGATGTAGGCTGTGGCAAGATGGTTCACTGCTTTGTTAAGTTAACAAGAGGATGTGTAATGGTATTCTACGTGAAACTGGAAGCCAGTGCAGGGGACGGCCAACGCGAGATCTAATTTGTACCGAGAACTGGTGCGGTGTCGGTGCTGTTGAACTTTATTAGAGTACATTGCACAGGTTTTTTTATGATCGACCTGGAGTTAACTTGAGCGATGTGTCCGAGTTTGGACATTAGTGGGAAAGGCGGCAAACCGATGTCATTGTCATGTAATGAGGTTTCAATGTCTTGCATAGGACCTCCACTCAATGTTTAATTAGGCAAGGATATGAATGGAGGGTAGAGGATATTGGTCCGAACTAAACAAAAACACAAATGACAAAAAAATAATCAAACTGAAAAGTATCCAAAGAAGTAGCGAATCGATACATTAATATACACTATTGTCTTATTATGTGCCATTCTACAAATTAAACCATTTATTTTTAAACCAGGCAAGGCGCACAGAGCTACATAGCTCTTATTCAGAAGCGGCCTGGCCACAAATGATAGCTCAACAAAGTGGCTTATCGCGTGCAAATAAATATCAGCCAAATTACTCGAAACGCGCGTTTCAGAATGTGGATCAAAACAACCCGAAGGTCCACGGGACGAGAGAGAACACACGAACTCCAAAAACACAACAGGCGTATCAGGGTCGCGATCGAACCCACGACCACTTGTACACAAGGCGAGGGAGTTAACATCTTGCCACCAGCAGCGCCCATCACTTGCCCGTTACCCAGCCACACACGAGGCGATGGATGCGCGAATGGACTTAGGGGAGGAGATGGAGGGGAGCAGAGTTGCTTTGTGTTCGTCCGCACGCACGCGTCTGGCATCGTCACGCTCACGTTGGCGGTGTGAGAGAGAGAGAGAGGGTGGTGGGGGGCGGAGAGAGAAGGAGAGAGAGCGAGAGAGAGAGAGGGGAGTAGCGATAGGAGGCAACGAAGAGGGAAAGCGAAGTTGCGTGTGTGTGGAGTTCCACGCTCTCAATGTCTTCGCGAGGTCGCTAACGGTGAATACAAGTTAGGAATCGTCGGCGAGAAGATGGTGAAGAGAAACAAGACGGCGGCAGAGGACAGCCCTCCGCCTCAGCACGGTAACGCGCTTTGTGCGACTTGACTTGATCTGTCCCTTTAACATGCAAATGAGCCGTGTGTGCCAATGTCAGCTGTGTGAGGGTGAGTGGGGAATGTGTGAGTGGGAATGTGTGAGGGTGAGTGGTGGATGTGTGAGGGTGAGTGGGAATGTGTGAGGGTGAGTGGTGGATGTGTGAGGTTGAGTGGTGGATGTGAGTGGATGTGTGTAGGTGAGTGGTGGATGTGTGAGTGGGGAATTTGTGAGGGTGAGTGGTGGATGTGTGAGGGGTGGATGTGTGAGGGTGAGTGGTGGATGTGTGAGGGTGAGTGGTGGATGTGAGTGGATGTGTGAGGGTGAGTGGTGGTGTGTGAGGGTGAGTGGTGGTGTGTGAGGGTGAGTGGTGGATGTGAGTGGATGTGTGAGGGTGAGTGGTGGATGTGTGAGGGTGAGTTGTGGATGTGAGTGGATGTGTGAGGATGAGTGGTGGATGTGAGTGAATGTGTGAGTGGTGGATGCGAGTGGATGTGTGAGTGGTGGATGTGAGTGAATGTGTGAGGGTGAGTGGGGAATGTGTGAGGGTGAGTGGTGGATGTGAGTGGATGTGTGAGGGTGAGTGGTGGATGTGAGTTAATGTGTGAGGTGAGTGGTGGATGTGAGTGGATGTGTGAGGGTGAGTGGTGGATGTGTGAGGGTGAGTGGTGGATGTGAGTGGATGTGTGAGGGTGAGTGGTGGATGTGAGTGGATGTGTGAGGGTGAGTGGGGAATGTGTGAGTGGGAATTTGTGAGGGTGAGTGGTGGATGTGAGTGGATGTGTGAGGGTGAGTGGTGGATGTGTGTGAATGTGTGGGTGGTGAGTGGTGGATGTGTGAGGGTGAGTGGTGGATGTGAGTGGATGTGTGAGGGTGAGTGGTGGATGTGTGTGAATGTGTGAGTGGTGAGTGGTGGATGTGAGTGGATGATTGAGGGTGAGTGGTGGATGTGAGTGGATGTGTGAGGGTGTGGTGGTGGATGTGTGTAAGTGTGAGTGGTGGATGTGAGTGAATGTGTGAGGGTGAGTGGGGAATGTGTGAGGGTGAGTGGTGAATGTGTGAGTGGGAATTTGTGAGGGTGAGTGGTGGATGTGAGTGAATGAGTGAGGGTGAGTGGTGGGTGTGAGTGGATGTGTGAGGGTGAGTGGTGGATGTGAGTGAATGTGTGAGGGTGAGTGGTGGATGTGAGGGTGAATGGTGGATGTGAGTGGATGTGTGAGGGTGAGCGGAAAAGTTTGATTCCCGCTCACGGCCAATACCAGTGACGAATATCTGAACCGACTCCTGGGCCTCCGCTGGGTCGACTCAGCCTTAAATGAGTACATGTCTGGGTGTGTAAATATCGCTGTGAGGGAGACAAAGACGGCCGGGACGTGGTGCTGACCACCCACCCCCTCGAGTGCCATGCCGGCCTTCATAGGTGCCACTCGCTAACAGCACTTTGTTGAGGCTATACAGGGGATCTTTGTGATTAGAGTGAACGCGTGTGTTAGGAGTTAATGTTGGAATGAAATCTGTACCGCATATGAGTGTGCATAACTGTGAGTTAGTGTATGAACGTCGTGAGTATGTGAGTTGAAGTGTATGAGTGAGTCTGTCTTTGTGTGTGTGTGTACGACTGTGTGTGTGTGTGAGAATGGGGAGCGGTGGTGTAGCGGTTAGCGCGCTGCGCTATGAACCTGGCGACCCGGGTTCGATTCCCGTTCACGGCTAACACCAGTGACGATTATCTGAACCGGTACCGGGCCTCCCCTAGGTCGACTCAGCCTTAAATGAGTACCTGGTGCGGTGTGTAAACATCGCCACTGGGGAGACAAAGGCGGTCGGGCGTGGTGCTGACCACCCACCCCCTCGTTCGTGTGCCGTTCCGGCCTTCACAGGTGCTCGCTAACAGCACTTGCCCCTACAGTCTGCTAAGGCTATACGGGGGATCTTTGTCTTTGTCTTTGTTGTGTGAGAGAAAGTTGAGTATTGGTTCGCGTCGATGGGAACTTTAAAACAAACTGCTGACTGTGGCCATCCCGAACAGACCCGTGAAACGTCTCACGGCGCAATTGCCGATCTACAAATACGAAGCAGGAGACATCACGGCGATGATGATACACTTTTGGTTTGGCCATGTTTGTTTGTTGTAGTACGGATTCAGAATGATGGAATACTCTTAGGCTTTTTCGGTAAAGTCACGTAGGTAAAAAAAAATATTAAGAGAAGTAATAATAGAAATAAAATAATAAATCACAGATTTATTGTTTTATTTCTATTATCACTTCTATTATTTTTTTTACGTGACTTTACCAAAACATCCTAATAGTATGAATACTTGCAGTCACGAAAGCTTCAAATATTGAATTAGAATTATGGCCTTAATCAAAGTTGTCTCATGGTTATTGTTGTTGTTGTTTGACTTACATCCCACTGGGATTTTTGCACACAGCGTTGGTGTACGGTGCTTTTTCTGCAATATTTTGCTGTCTTTTCCTGGATTTTCTGTTTGCACATAGTCACATAGTCACTTCAAGATGTTTTCTTGTTCACGTTTTTGTCTCTTGTTTGTTGCGGTTGACACCCGATTCAAGAGCCGAATGGCTCACAGGGCTATACCAAATAAATGAAACTGAACTGAAACACTTCACTCCGCTCGCTACTCACCCACGCGGTGTCTCTGTGCTTCGACGCACATGAAAGTGAAATTGGAGTTGTTACTCTGGCGTGGACACCAAGCTAGTCGTACGACAACAAGAACAGGAGGAGGATGAGGAGGGAGGGCGGATGATCAGCTGTTGCGCTGATCAGCTGTTGCGCGTGGTGTTAGCGAGCTCCTGTTTCTGGGCAAGCAGCTGGACGGATGAGAGCGAGATCGTCACGCTCTGAGAATTTGCTCGGCCCTCCTCGGTGCTAAAGAGAAATCGAGACGAGAGAGACTTGACTTTTAAACAACTTTTATTGCGGCCAGCAGCAACAGCACTGGAGGCGATTCCGATATGAAATGCACAGTCACCAGCAAACAAACTAATAAACGCTATAAATCCATGCGCTGTGAGACGAGGGAGAGAGACGAGAGAGATAGAGACGGGTGTGCAAACGCTCATAACCCTGAGTCCGTGTGCTATATCGGTTACAACGTTACAGTACAGACACACACAACACAGTATGTTTAACGGTAAGGTTATATCTTAAAACTATATATTTTTTAAATTCCACCGCGGCCTGAAAAGAATAACAGTATATAATCGGTGACGTTTCGGGAAATGGTCCTTCAGAGCATCATTTGTGGCTGAGTCGACCTAGGGGAGGCCCAAGACCGGTTCAGATAACCGTCAATGGTGTTGGCCAGGCGACATGAACCGCTCCCCACAATGGACATTAACACACACAGACACCTTGATACGAATTTAAATGGAAACCTTTCACGAATACAACACGTGGGCAGTGCGTGTGTTCATGTCGGGTTATGTGCTGCATATCAGTTATTTTTTGTATAGGATGAGCATTAATACATTCATATGTCCATACTTGCATATGAAAGTTAGTGGTTGTGCCATAGCATACGCACATTTACACCACGGTAATTGCCGCGGTCACACGGCCTCAGCGGTAGCGTTTTTGCAGTTCGGTACAGGCAGGTCGCCCTGGTTAATGCTAAGGTTGTATTAACCATAGATAAACACACACACGCACACTAACCCCAACACACACACACACTGACCCCAACACACACACACTAACCCTACCACACACACACACACTAACCCCAACACACACACACTAACCCAAACACACACTAACCCCACCACACACACACTGAACCCAACACACACACGCACACTAACCCCACCACACGCACGCACGCACGCTCGCTCCTCCACGGGTTACCAATGGGCACAGCACACGGAGGCGCAGTGACGACCCTGATCGCCGCTCTGTTGCCTTAGAAAATCCTCGCAAGCGAATTTCGCCGCAGCTTTGCCTGCCCGTGGGTTGACAACGTGAGAAGCGAAGCCGCGTGTGGGGCCACACGCGCGCCGCGGTGTGTAAATGGTCGACAGCGCCCGGCCCAGCCGTGACCCCGAGTGAGCGCGACCCAGACCGGACGCCGTCACGAACGGCGGCCCCTGGCAGAGCGCACGCGGTGCCGCGGGGCTTGGCGCGCTCCTCGCATCGCTCCGTCGGCTCCACATCCAAATCTCATTCGTGATCGCGCTACGCACCGGCTTCCCGTGTCCTGCCTCGCCCCGCTCGTCTCACTCTACTACCCTCCACGCACTCTCCTACATCTCCCCTCTCATTTGACTCTACTCCCCTTCACACACTCTCCTGCCTCTCCCCTCTCACCTCACTCCACTCCCCTCCACGCACTCTCCTGCCTCTCATCTCACTCCACTCCCCTCCACAAACTCTCCTACCTCTCCCCTCTCATCTCACTCTAATCCTCTCCACGCACTCTCCTACCTCTCCCCTCTCATCTCACTCTACTCCTCTCCACGCACTCTCCTACCTCTTCCCTCTCATCTCGCTCTACTCCCCTCCACGCACTCTCCTACCTCTCCCCTCTCATCTCAGTCTCCTCCCCTCCACGAACTCTCCTACCTCTCCCCTCTCATCTCACTCTACTCCCCTCCACGCACTCTCCTGCCTCTCCACTCTCATCTCACTCCACTACCCTCCACGCACTCTCCTACCTCTCCCCTATCATCTCACTCTCCTCCCCTCCACGAACTCTCCTACCTAATAATATCCCTTTTTGCACATTTTGAGGTCGAAAATCAGTCCGAGAATTGCGTTTCAGTGCCGACTGCCTCGATGTAATCGGTGGCGTACAGCGAACGCCTTTGGGTTGGCGGTCGCGTGAGACGTTACACATCAAGCGGCGTCGCGTTGTCTAACACCCTGTGCCAGCATTGTGTGTGAGAACTTCACAGACACCGCAAGCTCAATGAAGGTGAAGCAGTCCCCTGGGGGAGTTCACGTAACGCTTTCAACCCGTGATATCCACGTCCACAAATTAAACTCGGGATTCAATAATCCGAAGATGTATCTACACCGGAGAAATCCGATGAGCTTCGAAGATTTTCAGTTTTTCTTTTGGTGTGACAGGCGTCCCACTCGCCATGCGCACGCACGGGCGAGTCGCCGGGGAGGGACGCGCCCACGTCACAATCGGATTCTCGGAAGGTCAGCGAGCCGTTGACCCCCGCTTCGTTCGTGGATGGGTGACCATCCCGTGGAGCTGGCCGAGTGCTGAGATCGCGGTGTCTGCGTGACACAGCCAGGCGCTATGGCCGGGAGATTCTCGTTGGCGTAGAGGGGGAAGACACTCGGGACTTGTTGAATCACTGCGTACATTCGTTGTTGAAGTTGCGTTCGGATGAACTTAACTTAAAATTTACCGGCGAATTCACATCCTGGGTGGGGAGTTGACTCGTCCCGTCATCTCTCCACGGTCGATAAAATAGGTAGCGCTTCGTGGGAAAATTAGCAGTGGTGGTCCTCGCCCCCGTCATAGGAACTAGGAATTTCCACGGATGGCTTTGCAGGGCCGTAAGCAGGAGATGTCAAGCAATGGCTCAATGCTGGTTTTGTCTTTTGGAGTATTCAGTTTATTATCGCATTGTGGGGAGCGCTAGCTCAGTGACTCGCACGCTGCACTACAAACACGGCCACCCGAGTTCGATTGCCACTCACGGTCAACATCGGTGACGAATATCTGAACCGTTCTTCGGCCTCCGCTAGGTATACTCGGCCTTAAATGAGCCCCTGGTGCGGTGTAAAAATAAATCAGCATTGGGGAGACAAAGACGGCTGGGCGTGGCCCCTGGCCACCCAGTCCGCTTAGTGTAGCTTACCCACTGTTCATAGGTGCTCCCTAACAGCACTCGTCCCAACAGCATATTTCGTCTTTATCTTCGATGACATCGACACGCTGTGAGCCTGCGTAGACGGTCACGTTATCGTGAGCCGTGCTCCGAAGTGACTTTGAAGAGCCGCTGCTGACCACATGTGTGTAACTTTGCGATGTTTTTGCTTTTGAAAATGAAACCAGCAACAACATTGCCATCGCCGCCCGTCAGCCGCGAGTGCCGCGTGCCTCGCATTCTTCGCCGCTTAATTCACCAGCGCCGAGCGCATGAGCCAGCATTCGAAATATGTTTCGAAGTTGCGAATTTTAATGGCAAGCAAATAAAACAATTGAAATGAGACGGACGCGGATTTCAAGGTCGGTGGGGTGCAGCCCCTGCTACTACCGCGCTCACACCCGCTGCTGACGGAAGGGCCCCCGCTAGACGGAGCTATGGACAACCGCTGTGGAGGGTATTTGGCCTACTTTTCCACGCACCAAACGCCTCTTGCCGATCGACTAACAGCGCTCCTCTACCCATCTATGCTGCTGGGTGGACTGAGGCGGTGGGAGGGAGGGGGGGGGGGTTTAATAAACTCGCACCGCTGTTTCGAACTCCCGCCCCGGGAGATGGAATTGAACTGGCCACCTCTGGATTGCTTGAAAGTTGGGTGTGTCGCTGACCATTGAACCACTGGGAGAGAATCGGCTCTGTGCTCAACCGAGCAAACGGGTCGCGTGAACTCCATTGGGCCGGAGGTGGAAATTCCACATTCCCGTGGCCGGACCAATATCTCTTTTAGGGATTTTTTTGGTTAATGCTATCCATTCCATAGATATAACTGCTCAACCCCGAGCTATTAATGCTTTTATACTGACGTTGCCTTCGCACTGTTCGTCTCTTGGCGTTCTCCGGTCTGATACCGGTGCGGCAAGGCCATGAAAAAATTAACCCGTAAAAACAAAGTTTTTCACTCTAAATCCTTTATATGCGTGGCGGCTAGAGTCCTCTCGTCCTCTGGCTTGAGATGGCTGCCACCTATGGGTCAGATGATTGCCTGCCACCATTAAGGAATTGGTAATTAAATATAATTTATTTTTTCCTAAAAAGTGTAAAATTTAGGAAAAAAAATTTCACGAAAATAAATTGTCACGCACAACGAGTCTGTGTGCAAAATGTCAGCTCGATTGGATCACGGGAAGTGGGTTAAAAAACGACCGAAAGATTTGCACGGTCGTAAGCGCGCAAGCAAGCAAGCAAGTGAACTTAATATAAAGGATTTAAAAAGGCTGTCTCTGGTGTAGGCCAATGCATTTCAAAGGCAATGCTGCGTATATGATCAGAGCATGTTTGTTTGCATGTTTTGCTACAATTTTGCGTGGTTAATGCAGACTTGATGCCTTTTAATATGTATCTATTTGGTGTTTGACCAACTTAACATCACCGGTTTTATTGCCAAGGAGGGTAAAGCCTCTTCTTATTTTTTTATAATATTGACACTGGCAAAAATGTCCCATAGATGCTATCCATACCGGGGGATGGCACGTGACGGTGAAAATACTGAGGAGTCGTATCTAGAAGAAATGTTCAGTGTGCGCTCACAATGCCACCCTTGTGGTGACTGCGTCGGTGAAATATATCCGATTGCAATGTGTGCCATTTAACCCTGGGAGAGCCACTTCGCACGATCCAACAGGAAATACAACACCTGAATGGGAACTCTCATTACTATTATTGTTATGAAGTTGATTATTGTTGGGAGGGGAGGGAGGGGTGCATGAGATCGGAGGTAGAATGATTCACGCGCTCTGAACCTGGGTAGCCTGAGTTTGATACCCGGCCACGGCTAACGTATCGGTGGTGGGCGATATCCGCACCGATCTTTGTGGGTACCCCCTTCACCAACATGTACTCACCCAGCGTGGTGATGTACGGTCATTCCACACACAGCGATCAAACACGAGTGCGGGTAGCCCTTCATCCAGCAGTGGACCGATAAAAGGGCTGCAACGGTTAAAGTAAAGCATCGATATTTTTGTTCTGGCCAGGTGGCATATTTGTTAGTGCTCTTAACAACGAACAAGAGCTCCGAGAAAGGTTAAGTGTTCAGTTCCTGGTCGTGGATCGATCCAGATTATAATAAACTGCCATGCTCCAGTGTACATCACAAACGTGTTTGTTTCCATGTTTTGATCTTGATTTGAAGTTTTGCCGTGACTGCAGGGATCCATACTCTTTGGTTCTTTGGGTAAAGTCACGTAGGTATAAAATAAAATAAATTAAATCACGACGTTTCGATCGCAACACAAGCAATCATCGTCAGGTGGGAAAACCACAGCAAAAATTTTTTTTAGCTGAAGTGGGAAGAGAGATACCGTGCCACAAGTGTGTGCGGTAAATGTAGACTTAACGCCTCGCAAGCAGCTGTTCTCCGCTTGGTATTTAAACATTTTAACAATTGTGTTTCATTGCCAGAAACGGTAAAGTCTATTCTTATATTTCGATTTAAAGCTTTCAGACGCTGTCTTTCCGACAGACCTGTTCTTCACCTGAGGACGGCTGCTTGTGTTGTGGCCGAAACGTCGTGAGAATTGTATTTTATTATGTTTTATTTTTATTATTTCACTTCTAGTGACTTTACCGAAAGAACCAAGAAGATATATTCTTACATTTTTCATCATTATGATACTGGGAAAAAAAAAATTATCGCGTGGATACCATGCCCCGGTGTACATCCGAGACATGCTACTGCCGCCCACCCAAAGGGTCTCTTAAGATCTGGGGGTGCAGGTCTTCTCCGTGTGCCCAGGCCGAGGCTCCGGTCGATGGGGCCACTGAAGTTGTCCCCCCGTGTGGCCCCCAGACTCTGGGGCGCTTTCCCCCACGAGATTTCAGGGTCTCCCGAGTCTGTGGGAGGGGGGGGGGAAATGTGTTGATGAGGTTTTTTTTTCAATTGTAAGAGGAACGCAAGCCCGCAACAGTGTGCTAGGTAACAACAACAACCACAACAACCGGGCAAAGACATCAGCGAGGCGGACGAACCCGACACGATCAATTTGAGGGGAAGACAATCAACCCGAGGGAGCGGGGGTAAGGGTATATCGTCCCGAATCAGTGGATATCTGACCATACTTCACCACGCCGGTCAGTACGGGTTGGTGAAGGGGAGCGATCCAGGAACAGTTTGGATGTCACTCGCTGCCGACGTAAGCCGTGGCCGAGAATCAAACTTAGGTGGCAGGGTTCATAGCGCAGTGCACGAACTGCTGTGCCACCGCTCACACCACAAGACTACAAAGATCCCACCAACACAGATGCACGGACCGTTTGGGCTAAGTGCTGTTAGCGAATATGAGACCACCACGGCATCCAAGGCGTTTGCGTGGCAATCGCCACGCCCGGGTCGCATTTGTCTACCCAGTGCTGATGTTCACACACTGCACCGGGTACTCATTGAAGGCTGAGTTGACCTAGGGGAGGCCCAGGACCTGGTTCAGATGTTTGTCAACGATGTTGGCTGCGAGCGGGTCACCGGGTTTGTGGCAGAGCGCGCTAACCACACGGCACACCAATCGCTCCCCGCATAGACACAGACACACAATGTGCAGTCACACACAAGAGAAACACCGTGTGACCGCTGAAAGCCGACCAACAAAGGCAGACGGCTTCGAATCCTGTGTTCATCTTTGAACAAGACTCAACTTTTGAAGTGCAGATGTCACATTTTACATTTTCCTGCCAACTCCCCCCATTATCGGCCATCTCCACAGAACTCCAAACAGCACGGGAGGGGAGGGAGGGGGCAGGAGGGTGGGGCAGGGGGGGGCTTGTGAAATGTAACACCGCCCTGCCGTGTGGCTTATCGGACAAGAACGTTGACATTCACTCGTAGAGGTCTCAAATGCGGCTTTCGCTTGAATAAATAAGTGCCATTTATTTAAGGAAATTAACAAAAATCGATTGGACAGGTACAAATTCATATCTCATCGGAAACAAAAACTGTCTCGCTGGAAATCAGAACGAATATTCGCATTGTTATTAAAATGGACTTGACTTACTTCGAGTCGTACGAGTGGGGTGATCTCTCAATTTATTCGGAATTTACTTCTGGAGAGGCCCTGCTTTCAGCCGCAAACAGCAACGCCACTGTAGGGTTCTCAGTTGAATGCGCACGCACATTCACACTGAGTTCAGCGCGGATTTGGATCACGGCGGTCCAAAAATACGAAAGGTGACGCCAAAAATATGGGGCACACCGACCAGTTTCATAATAAACACGATTTATTTAAAGCACACATTTTCTCGAATCGGACGCAGTGTTCGACTGAGAACTCG